TTTGCCGTGTGTAACCATATCCACTACCGCATATGATCTTGTCTGGGGCAGAGCCCCGTGTGATCTGACCGATGCTGCCAGAGTGCTGACATCCGTGCCTGCCTTACTGTAATTGACCGCTCGATCGCTTTTCGGTGGCACCAATTGGTCGAGACCATCTTTCAGGTGTTCCCGCAGCTGGGTGGCATAATCCTCGGTGTTCGCCGATGAAAACCGATCGGCTCGGTCGACTCTGTGACGAACGGCACGAGCAAACGAGGAGTATCGAGGAGTCCCATGGAGTCCCGACAGGGAAAGCGGCAACCAATGGCCGTCTCAAATCGATGCATGCTGAGCAAACATGAGCAAACCAGGTGAGGGATAAACAAATCCCCAGGCCCCAACCTGAGATTGTTGAGCTTGCAGTGGAGGTTACTGTATGTTTCTTGAGCCCCTCTGACCGCGACCCTCATGTCCAATCTAGATAGCAACAATGAATTTAGTTGCCACCAGGCGAAACATGCAATTCAGAGACTAAACAAACTGACCATTCTGACCGTTGGTCGTCAAAACCCTGAAATCATGAACAAGCTATATTCCGAAGACTCCGAAGACATCCGAAGACTATAGTCATAGTCAACCAGTCATAGCTATCAATGGCGAGATGGACATTCAAGGTGATCCAATAACCGGCCGTGCCATACCGACAAAGAGCTCCACCAACTTCACCACATAGGTCTAATGTCGACCTATGATGAATCAATATCCCCTCAATAAAGCTAAGCAAATCCCAGAACAAACTATTAAATTACCCCTAAATAAAGCTAACTGTTTTTACCCCTGGCCCTAGGTATCCCAAATCCAGCCAAAATTGACCCAAATCCAGCCTTTAAAAAATGTCTTTAAACAAATCCTGCCTTGAAAGAAAGCAAGCAGCACAGCACAGCAAGCACAGCAACCCACCACCACCAACACACACTACCACCAACCCTCCAGCCCTGGTCCTTGCCACTTTGGGACCTTGCTGACCTTATCAGCTCCTCTTATCAGCTGAATAAAGCCATGCCCTTGAATAAAGCTAATGAACTTGTTCTCTGAATGGAATGTGCTGATTCTATTGTGTTTCTTCTCAATCTAATCCCAATTTCATTCCCCTTGATGAACTCTTCTTCAAGTAGCTGACAAGGAAAAATATCCAAATGAACCTAGGGTGCTTTCTTTTAAAATCCCTTATTAAAACATCGTGAACAAAGCTATGAAAACAGTTCAGCAAGGGTACCCCTCATGAGTGCCCAAGTACAAATAAAGATTGATCCTAAATACAGCTAAGGACCCCCTGATCCTGGTGAGGATTCCTTCTGGCTGATCCTGGTGAGGATTCCTGCTGGCTGATCCTGGTGAGGATTCCTGCTGAATCAATGGGTCCTCAATGGATTCCTTTCTTCTATTCCTTTCCTTTATAGATTCTTATACTAAAGGAAAAATATCTACCAATACATAACAATACTAAACATTTGAAAACAGTGTTTAAGTCTATTTGAGGTCTTTCGGGGGGGGGGGGGCCTATTGATTAATCAGAGGTGGACATTAAGTACTTCACTCTGGCTCGTAGCGTGTTGAGGGTCAGGATAGCTCCCGCAAGAATTCAAATCAACAATGAAGCAGGAGGCTTCTCAAATGATCATGTTTGGCTTCTGCTCATCCCATACCTGACCCCCCCGGCGGCGCCCACCAGGCCCAGCTACGGAGTAGGATTTCTCCAGTTGACCTGAACTTGGCCATATGAAACCAAGCCAAAGGAGCCGCCGGAGCCACATGGCGCCGCCCCCGTTCGAAGGCCCGGCCCACCACCGTTGGGGGTTGGGCACAGGTGGTAGTAGGGGCAAGGCCTGCTGATGCCTGCTGTGCAAGTGTAAGGGCAAGCAATCCAACTGAGTCAATCCTTCATGATGAATCTAGAACATGGCGGTGGCCTGAATGTTCATAAGACCTGACTCAGACTCCTTTAGGCTTGAGGTTGGCGTACCGGCGTACCCCACAAAGTAGAGCCTCCAGCCTGGCATTAGCTACCTTTATGAGACGAAGCTCAAGGAAGTATAGTAGAAAACAAAGCTACCAGGTAGCTACCTTTATATTGAAGATACCTTTAGTAGCTATACCTTTATGTCCAAGGGAATCTTTGACTCCAATGCCGTGAAAGCAGGTCGTCTCCGCCGGTCTCTGGACCCTCGAGCCCGGTCTCTCCCGGATCGGATTCGCTGCGACCCGGTCGGACGTCGGTGGATGCGGACGGGCGTTGGGTAAGGAGATTTGGTTCAGTGAGTGCCCCATCTTTGGGCGACACTTCTGTCTGGCCATAGTGTTTGGCGACACTGCAAGAGCTGACACCGATGACTCCATGCACCTCACTGGACGGGCCCACCGCCACCGCACCTCTTCCGCACCTCTTTCAGCCCAACGTCGGAACCTGACCAACTTGCTGGAATCAGTCCAGTCTGTCAATCGAGGGGTGGATCAAATGACATGGGCCCCAGCCATATTCCATACCTGTGATCTCTTAGGTCATGTACCCGTCAAGTTTGGAAGCTGCAAAGAATGGTGGTCACACAGTGTGGATACGTGCTGCCTCAGCCTCTTTGTGCTGCCTAAATCGCCAACCGCATGGGCAAAGACCATGTAGAGATCCAACAAAAATGGGCTGAAGCAGCTGAAAGCATGCTAACTAGCATGCTACTATTATATTGCAAAACCTCAAGTTCAAGGGCATTAGGATGACACTCTTCGCCCAACTGTGACAGTCTTCCCCAGGAATCCCCATCTCTCCCCTGCACAAAGCATTTTGGGCAGAAGGGTCATGCGTCGGTGTAAAATGAGCCGTTCGCGTGTGAGACCCGGACAGCTATGACTTGGGAGATCACCGCGATAGACTGGCTTTCACGCCTGGTGAACGCCCCACCAGGACTCAAGAGAGAAAAGAGTGCTTTTCAAAGAGCAAAGAAGCCGAGCCCGGGGGGCCAACGTTGCTACGATGACTTCTGTTCAGCCATTTCAACTTGGGAACAAACAAAGTTCATCTCGAGTTCTGTCCCTCTTATTTCTGTGTTTTGGTGTTTTTGTAGGGGCGGGGGCTGGCACCGAACACAAACTTGTGTTTCCATTGGTATATTGCCTTGGCTGGCACCAAACATACAGAAATACCCCGGATGTTGCGAACCCAACACAGCGGTTGGGAAGAGTTCAGCCGCAGCCTGGCACTTCACAGTCCAACTTGGCTGCACTTGACTGCTGGCAAGTCACAGGGTCCAGGACGCCTTCTACCTTGAGACTTTCCCTGGTGGTCTCAACAAATTCTAACGCCATACATGCCAAAGTGCTTCCCTACAACAAAAATCCAAAGGATAGCAAAGTGCAGTTGGAAAGCCAAAAAGGGGCCATCGCGTACAAATAGTGATGAAGTTGTGTCACTATTGCGGGGCACATATTTAAAAAACGCTGCACTTTGTCTAGTCGGAAGCCACTAGTTGCGGCTTGCCGTTGAATTTTGCTTATAATTGTCCTTTCTACTTGTCAGGGCGAGTTTGGAGTAGTTGCTTAAATTAGGTACCTATCAAAACCAGGACCAACCGTTCTGCTAACCAGGAACGCGTCGCAAGATACACGCATTTCCTTGCTTTCCCCTTCCAATGGCAGGGAGCCACACAAACACTCTTTCCACCAAGGCCTTGCCTGGCGCCGCATGACAGTACACATCACCTGTCAAAAACTTTATGTGTAATGGAAGCTTTGCAAGTGACGATCAAAGAATCGTCCATAGTTTATCATGTGATTAAAAGCGCACATTGAATTTGTGATTTGGAGGTTTTGTATATAATTCGTGATATGAGCTGAAAAGTAATATTCAGTATAGTAGAATTTACCCAGGCGACTTGACGGTTATGAAGCTCTTCCAAGGTTTCCATCTTTGGAGTCCCGCTATTTCACCTCCCCGAGCTTAAAAGAGACCGGAGCTTTTTGGGGGGAGGGCATGTTCTTTTGATGTTAGGACATTTTCACACCAGAGACACATGCATGGAAGTTACATGTAAGTCTCTTTCCTGCGCTGGGATGGTGATTGCCATCCCACATGAGGGAAGCTAAACCACAAATGCAAGTAGCAGCTTGCTCTGTTCTGTTCGCAAGTAGCAGCTCTCCCAAAAAACATCGAAAAAGAACAATGAGGCCCCCAATGCTGCACAATGCTGCACAGCTTGCTCTACAAAAACCCTGTGCTCTACCGCAGTCGAGGCTAGCGGCCTCACCATCTGCATACATCGAGTGTCAACTCCTCACGAGAGAGCACTCGTGCCACCGCGTCTGCGAATTAGACATCCTGTCTTCAATTCATAAAAGTGAGTTACAGGAGAATCAGAATCCACCGGACCACACCCAGCACCCCAGTGAATAATGAGCAGAAGTTGGTCTGCACCAAAGACATCAGCGACATCATCTATGACATTGCATAATGGTGTTGAATGAATGGGAACATGGTGATGTGAGTCATATATAACCCTCTCCATTGTGCTGGCATGTGCTGGCGATCTGGACTGTACAAGAGCCAAACTCCAAGCTGTGCCAAGCAAAAGTTCTCCTGAACTGGCCCCCAAAAAGACTGCAACATGCCTTGACAAACAGTTGGGAACAAGGAACATGACCACAGTGGCCTTGCTGTGTTGAAATTCGGGTCATTTTGTGATTATCAACACCACTTTCCATGCATGGGGTCAAAATTCAATAACGAATGACACACCCTGAACTCAGGAACCATCGACATGAGCATCGACGCATCGACGTGAGCTTTTCCTCCGACGTGTTCTCCAACCCGACTCAACTTCGATGGTGGGATCCGACATGGAGAGAGTTGGGCATGTCAAATGAGGCCTGAAACATGGACTCTTCCAAACGTCTCGGCACCTGGAGCCCAGTTGGACGAAGACGGGCTCCGCTTGGTTGTGCTGGCGTCCACCCAGTTGGCTTTGCGGCGCCTACTCATCGGCAGTTGACCTGAAATGACCAAGGCTCCAAATGAACCAGGCGAGCTCTGGCAACCAAGCGATGACTATGTGACTAGCTGCAAAGCCTTTCAGTGAAGCAAATCTGAATCAGGAGTCATAATCAGCAGTCAAATCTGAACCACCTCCAGGACCTGGGTGATTTTTGTTGGGCCACTTGGATGCCTCACCCAGTATTGTCCTTGCTCCTAGTAGCGATGCCAGGAGCCCCTAGTAGCGTCCTTGCTCCTAACATCCATCTCTTATACCCCCGGATCATCCTCTGTCGCCTGCTGTCGCATTTGGAAGCCACATGCTTTACGATGGACTCCTTCAAGAAGGCATCCCGTGCATCCTGTCGCTGGATCCGTGTTCTTGTGCTGGACATTTTCTTAGGAGCTCAAGAACGTTTGAGACTACATAGTCTCAAATCTAAAGACTATAGCTTAATCAACGCCCGGAACGCCAAAAAGACACATCTAATAACATGTCCAAATTTAAAAAAATGCGCTGTTTGGTGCTATTGGATGACTCCTCAAGATACACACCCTCGGCAGGTGGACCCCCTCCCCTGCTCCAACCCGTGTGATCCACCAGTCCAGTCCTCCGTGTAAACGACGGCCGCCGGCTTTGCAGGATTGCAAAGGCTTTGGATAATCTTGGTACCTCTGCCGCCCAGTCCGACCACCGGGTGGTTCATGGACACCCCGAATCACCTCAGGCCTGCCTCGGGGCTCTTCATTGGACACACCGGAGAGGGCCTGCCCTGGTGGCAACCGCATGCCAGGACCACTAAGAGCGCTTGGTTTTTTCTCGCACGCACCAGCCATGCTGTCGAGGAGTCTTCCCACTCACGACTGAACAGCTGCGATGCTGAAATGCCATGAAACGTCAAGGTCAGGTCTTTAAATAAATCCAAATCTTCCTATAACTTATATCAGTCTTTCCATTATTTGCTTCCTGAACTTCTGATCACTTCTCACCAGTGGGACTGGCTCGCTCGCTCGGTGACGCCCGCGCCCCGACGACGGACGCTGGCGCTCGTCGGCGCCTGTGCTGATGGCCATCCCGGCCCAGCTGTTGGCCACCATGACCTCGCGACCGACCAGCGTCCCATTTCTGGTTTGTCTACCACAGGAGTCCCATGAGTCTCACCAGAAATGATCCAAAAAACATCCCACACTGGTGTTTGTCAAATATGGTTTGTCTCAACTGATTTTTGAATATGCACATGCTGCCTGCGAACGCTAAGCTTGACGGAACTTAAAGCCCGGTTCACCGGGCTCCTGTGTAATGAGTAATGGCTGTACTCTAATATTAGCATCGACTTATGATTTCGATTTCTTCCCCGCTGCTCACTCTGAACTCCTCAGAACCTACGCAACACCCTGCAGGACTTGTAGAATCCAACTTGTCTGCCGAACCCATCAAACCACACAAAGCTCTCACATGCTCTCACAGCTAAAGCCATGGACCCCCCCAACTGGTAGAAACTCAGGTGCCCTTAGCGGCATGGTCCGAGGGAAATCACACGGTTCAAAAGAAGATGCTCTACCACGCGCAAACAACAGGGGATCTTCAGCAATCATCGAAACGGTCCTCACAAAGAATTATTGGTCCTCAAACAGCAATATAGAACCACCTGCACGAGAAGCAGCACTCAGACTCATTTATTTCGTCCCTAATCCCATGAGTACCAGCCAAGGTGCACAAGTAATCATGGCATGATTTCCCAGGAGGGTGCTATTCTCCTGGCACTCGGAACAGCCAAGCTTACACCGCAGGCATTGTTGAGCCAGGGTTGTCTTCTGCCTCTAAAGTTATGTATACTGTATAATGTAATTATGTCATACATGTCATAGGGTCACATCTTTTCACACAGATTTGCATGCTACAGCAACAGTAGTTATTCCTGCAAAAGTGCTGAATAAGAGTCTAGTAATGTCTAGAACATAACAGGCTCCCCCGCCTTGGATCTTGCCTTTCAACTGCACTACAAGTACCCGTATAGAGTCACACATACATCACCACACGGACGGATGTTAATCATCATAGCGATGACTTCGTTGACCACGATTTGGGCATGTATAGTTCATATTGGACGACCCAGCCACAACACTGAGTGACATCAGCAGCCAGGCATAGCCAGGCCCGTGCACCACCCCTGCACCAGCGCCTCTTCGTTCATCCAATTGATCACAGTGCGGCTGTCACTCATCGCTGGCCTCCTGCGTAACTTCTCATCGGGTCGCCGCACGTGTCACCGAACGAGGGCGACCGGGGCTGAGTCGGTGCTGTGATCGCCATGTGATCGCCATGTCGTGCTTTTCGTGTCTTTCCGGTGGTCCGACAGGTCGGGGTGGTAGTCCTTCTACCGTTGGGCGAACATGAAGGATGTAACATGCTCTGTCTTCATGGCAGGCGCAAACATGCGAATACCATCCACTGAATATCATGAACATCTGAGCAGCTTGACCTCCACACAGTACGGAAACCGCGCACTCCTCATCTCGCGCAAATCCAAGCAAAGGGCAAAGTCTGTCTTCTCCTGGCCGGCCACGGTTCGGTTCTTCGCGAACCTGGCCCTGGGGTTTGGTCACTTTCGTTGAGCTAAGCTGAGATCGGACCTGCCCTGCCCTCATGAAACAACAAACACATGGAGAACCTCCAATGCCTCACAAGCCCTCGACAAGTCTGAGAGAATCTAGGCCTGTCAGTTCATGCGTTTTGTTCGTATATTTTATTTCGGGGACGTATACATTGTGCTTCCAAGGAGCTCGAAGTACAGCAGTGATGCCTTGCAAAGATTTCGACAGGGCGTCGTGGGTGACCTCCGCGTTCTCTGCCTCCAAAAGGGTGAAGGCAACGACACCAACGGAGCAACGACACCATGCATCAACACATGCCCCGCTCAATTGGGTGAAGAGCGCCAGAGCAACTGGCGCTGGTGGGCCATGGCCATTCAGTGTTAGCTCTCAAAACCTGGTGATCTGCAAATTCCTCATCGTTCCTCAAGGACCAATATCTCTGAGATCGGAGTGATGCTGCCGGGTCATTCGACAAGTTGAGCATACAATAGCATACAGCATACACAATCAACATAAAGAGAATATAAATACTACTATAAACACTGTTACCGCCGCGCGCGCTATTTGTCGTGCTCAAAAAGCGGTCTCTCCCTCCATGATCCATCCAAATGATCGAGCCGTGAATCCCAAAACCTTGGAACCATGGAACCTGGGATGAAGAACCGAGCCTCCATGCGAACGTTCCATATAACGTTCTCCATCAAAACCGCGGAACACCGACTCCTTGGGTCCGCATCCCGAGCCGTGTCCAACCAAGAAATTGAAACAAGTCTGACGGTCCGAGCCTCCAAGAACATGATGGGCATGCCATATTCGGTGCCCTGTGCGGTGAGCGTTCGCGTGCAACACAAGTGCGACAAGTGAGCGTTCGAGTCGTCCGTGCAGCACGGACTCGGGTGATGGAGGGTGATGGGCCCCACCCAGGAGCCAAGCTTGTTGTATTGAGGGTTCATGAAGGACATGGAAGGACCCCTCATAAAGCAAACTGGTGGTTTTGGATGACGAATCATGCGGTCCAATGGATTGAACATAGTGAAGCTATGTGTCCCCTGGACCAAGGAGTACTCAATAGTACCTCCTGAGATCTACCCGGACATGGCATTCACCCTAACAAACATAGTCCCCCATGCCCACTCTCAAACAGGTCTGGAAGATGATCAATGGTCGCAGAAATGTGCCTCGAGATAGACTGAAGCACAGCCAGCTGTCTCCATGAAGGACCTCTTCTCCCCAGGTTGCAGCTGCTTTTGACCTCAAATCATCCGAAGGCTCCCCACTCCTTCAGACCGGCCCAAGAAACGCCCAAGGGCCGAGAAACGTCTTCGCCTCCCTTTCAAAACACAAAAGGAAAAACACTGGCGGATTCATTCTTGAATAAGACATCTTTTGGTGGATGGGTCACCACGTCACCTTTCTGGGCCACCAAAAACACCAAGGGCTGAGGGCAAACCTGAGACCTAGCCTTTCGGCGTCGGTCAACATATCTCCAGCTTCAAAGAAGGCCCAAGTAAAGCAGCTGGTAAGAAGCAGGGTGTTCAACGTGTGTTTTGGAAACATGGTCAGCCACTGGGGCTGGACCACGGCTCGTCGTGTCCAACGCAAAATCCAAGAACCGCCACCAAACCCACAGAAACTCCCAACAAACAGTTTGGGGATAGTTTGGAGGTGATTGGAAGCCAGTTGGACGAGGTCCGCTGCGTTCCAAACGACCTGTCGCTGACAAGGCACGAGTTGTGCCCGGCCCACACGGCCTCGTCGGGCATTCGGAATGCAGCAAACACAACTGAAAAAGGCAAGCAGGTTAAAATACAACCAATATGAACGAACATGGTTCTGGTAAACCAATAGTATGAATACATATATACAAATTACTATAAAATATTGTACATATTAATTACACACACATATTATAAAGCACATATCAACAGCAATGGATGTTTCAGAGGCAAGTGGTGCGGACAAGCTGCTCAATACTGCATTCTAGGGAGCTGTCAGAGGACTGGTGCTGAAGATCCTCCACTGTGGGCGGCTAACCATGTGGATCCATGTGGATGGCCTCCCCCTTAGTAGCCATGGCCTCCGGACTCCAACCTAGTAGCAATGTCCTCCCCCCTGGTAGCCATGGCCTTCAACCTAAGGGCGATGGCCTCCAACCTAGTAGCAATGTCCTCCCGCCTAGTAGCCATGGCCTCCAACCTCAGAGCGATGGCCTACTAGCGATGGCATCCACCTAATAGCGATGGCATCCACCTAATAGCGATGGCCTCCAACCTGCGAGTAGTAGCGACGCCTGTCTGATCCAGTGGTGCTACATCATGTCAGATCTGTCTCGAGGCCTATGTACAACCTCTGGGAGTGCTGTGATCGACGAGCGTTGGCCAAGCTTTGCACTGGCAAAGGCGCCCACCCAGCGGTGATCCATGCAGAATCATGGGATCCAAAGCCACGACACTGTCCAAACATGTCCAAACGTTGAGGATCTTCAACCGGGCAGCTCTTCCTTCAGCACTTGGGCGGGAGGATCAGCCACCGATGCTTCCCCATGTTCAGTCTACGAGGCCGATCGGAGTCCCAGTCGGGTGTCCTTGTAAGCTGCCATTCTGCAACTCCAATCTTCGCCTTTGGCGAGGCGATGAATTGTTTGATCGAAAGAGGCGTGTTTGGGATGCTTGAGGATTCTATTCAATGGTCCATCCGCTGGGCACCCTCAAGCGCATCAAGCATCCCACATAACCGTTTGAAGCGCTCGAGGATCGGGCGCGGCGTGCCGTTTGGCAAAGGGCCTACACCCCCAGTTGAACGGGAGACACTGAAGGATGTTGCCTCACATAATCGAGGTGCCTGCCTGCAAAAGAAACACAAACTTCAGGGTGTCTCTGTCAAGAATTGCTTTGACCTGCCCAAACCCTGCAAAGGCTGAAGCTGGAAGATTACTTATAGCAGGAAAACAACTCAGGATGAACGAGGTGAGCAAGCGCCCCAATTGCTTAACCTTGCGCTCTCCTTCAGCACATCTCCTCCCAGGATCTCCAAAGCCCTCTCATCTACTCCGAGGCACCAGCGGGGCAAAGGCCCGGCGGCAAGGACACCGACGATTCAAAAGCGAAAACAATTCAGCGTCGATCTGAGTGGCGCCGATGTGCGTCTTTCACATGGTTTTTGATGTTTTTGTATGTTTCCTCATCGTGTTGAAACCATGACATGTCCAAACCTTTCATGGAGCCGCCTGCGAGCCAAAGAAAGCCGGGGCGTCCGAGTCGTTGGCGTCCGAGTCAGTCTTGCAGTGTTCGTGGAGGTTGGTCACACGACTTCCTTTGGAACAAAGAGATGCCATCGGCTTCCAGTGCATCACTCAGGGCATGAATCAGACTCATGGCAGGAAGGCTTTGGGGCGGAGGCATGTCAAGATCGACCATGTCAAACTGCTTTAAGGCCTGCTTACACCTATGACATCTGTGACCCTTGTCGTGTACATTATCTGCAAAAAATGAGGCAAATCAGGAGGTCGGACGCTCATCAGGAGGTCGCCTCGCGGCAGGACCACAGCGTCGAAAGTCGTCACAGTCGATGATGTAGGTTTTCTTCCAAAGCATCGATTCTTCTTCGTCCTCAGCGACGGTCCGTCACGACTATGAGGTCCTTGTTTTCTGGGAGCCGAAAGAAAGGTAGTCATCAGGCCGACATCTTCAACAGAATCATTGTTGAATCTGAACTCATCTGAACTCCGCTGCGTGCCATCTCAAAATAAACAGAACTTCTTGTAACAAGTCGGTATGCGGCCAAATCATTGAATCATCGTTTTAAATGATTTGATTTAAGTACTTTTCTTAAGTAAAACCAATACGACCAAATCCATGAATCTTTAACTTTAAAAAAAAGCGTTAAAAAAATTGGCCCTGTGAGCCAACCATAAATTTGTCCATACCATGTTTCATAAAACTTTCATATTTGTTCATACAAAGCTCATAAAGTTTCACATAATGATTTCTCCAAATTGATGAAACAATATAGAACTTTATTAACAAATTATGAAAAGTTGTATGAATTGTTTTGAATGAACTCAGGACTGTTGCTACGTACAGTTCCAAACAATCCTGAATTAATTAAACACATGTTCATACCACGGTTCAAAAGTTCTTCATACAATGTTCATAAATGTTACATAAATTTGGATAAACAAATGTTTTGTGCTTTTTTTAATGAAACATGGTATGGAAAAAAAGCAATATGTTCATGTGTTATTGAAATGATTTCATAAATTTGGTTGTATTGGTTTTCAATGTTTTTTTTTTTTAAAGGTGTACCAACTTGCTGGATCTCAAAGATAGTCGATTCTTGGTGGATCATATATATATAATCTCTCTATGGTTTTATCGCTTCAACTTGTCATACACTGTTCAGGTCCCAGTCTCAACAAAAATGGGCCATCGCGACCGGTCGTGGGCCGCTTGGTCGCGTTCTCAGCGAGTTTGATCTCCGCAGGAGGTGTGTTCGGCACTGCATCAACGCTCCTCGAAAGGCAACTCCGAAAGGCTCAACGTGGACACCAATAGACATAGATCCCCCAATAGATGGAAAAGTAGATCCCCACGAAACTGTTCAAAAATGTGGAAACCGCTTCATACCGTTTCTATCTATTTGAGGATTTTGGGGACTCCCGGGACCACTACAATATGCACGAAGTGTTGCTTGTGCTTGTGCTTGTGCTTACTCCACCAAACTCTGATGGGCATGCGGCAAGTGGCTTAGTCCACTGGAACATTTTGATGCGATGTGATGGGCATACGGCAAGTGTTTGGTACAGGTACAGTAGTTCTTAGTGTTTGTTCCATCATACATTACCCAGAGCTGCCAGTGCGTTCAAGTCTCGCCTTTTTCGTTGATCGTTTGCATCACCACAGGCCGCGTTTGGAGCTGAGTGGCAGGTCCTATCAATGAACCGAGGTCCGTTCACAAAGAAAAGCCGAAGCACTGCAGACGGACGACCTCATTCTATGAAGCTATGAGGAATGGCCTATTCAGCATGTTCAACCTCTCTCAACTGCTGCTCCGGGGACTTGATGATCTCTATCCTCCGTGTATGGCTCAAAAGGCTTCACTTGAGGATCTTGAAGGATGTCCCTGCCCACTATGTGTTGATTATAGTCAGCCCAGCCCATAGATTGGCCAGATCGGTGAGCAGCGGTTTTGAGAACCTTTTCAAGCCTCCATTTGCCACAGCATGTTTTGGGGTGCAGCCTCATGATTCCATCTCTCGTGCCTCTTTCTCTGTTGGCGTCATGAACCCATGCACTTGAACATCTTTACAGGCGAAAACACAACAAGACAAGGCCGCGATGCAACTTGTACCCGCCACTTTTCCATGCGCGCGGCCAACATCGCCATGGTGGCGGTCTCTTGGACCTTACCGTTCCACCGAGGTGGTTGTTTCATCGTGTCGGCGTTGATGTCTTCGGTTGGAAAGGCAAGGATGTTCGTGTTGGCCTTTTTCTTCTCATTGTGTCATCAAAGCATATCAAACCCGAGTGATGAAACATGGGCGAGCGCCATGTTCTATATTACTTGGGTCACCTGACCTAAACCTAAGGGAACAAACCTTTGCCTTAACCTTTCAACAAGGAAAACAGCACTTTCCTTTTGGCCGCATGCTTGCCACAAAGTGGGGGGACGCAGCAGCTGCAAAGCCCCCCCAAGGTTCAACCAAATACCACGTGGCTAGCATGCATTTTAAAGCAGCCCCCTTTGCCCCAAACAAAGCGCATCAAAGCGCCTACAACTGCAAACTTACAAGGTAGTTGCCTTGGCAACTGTTGCATGGCCCAGGTTAAAAAGCCCTAGCGTCTGGCTGCAACTGCTTCGTCCGGTCGATTCTTGCGCAACTCAACCTCAACCATTATTCTTTGCTGCCTGTGTTCAGCTGCACCTGGGAGGAATAAAGCGCTGCAAGATAAGTTCCCAAAGGGCGAGCCAGGATGTTCTAAGGTTTATCTTCTGCCATGGGATGGCTCCGATGGCAGTGTGGCCCACGAAGCCACCACCTGAACCGAACTCCCCACCCGGTGTGGCACCAAATCCGCCACCATCCTCCAGCCGAGGCTTTGTGGCGAGTGACGATGCCTGCCACTTTGTGCAGGATCAAGAACTGACCAAGGGCATACTGTGCCTTGGTGCACAGGTGCCCCTCACGTGGCCACGTGGGAAAAACATCAAGAGTGAGGGTTCTCAAGATCTTCAGGACTCTCGATAGCGTCCCTCGATTCAGTGTACATTTACTCATGCCATCCCATAACAAAACAAACATATGTATATATAATATTGCTTATATAACTATATACTGTACATGTCAAAAACACACACACACACACACACACACACACACACACACACACACATATATATATATACACATAATTACACATACAATTACAATACTACGGTCGGTGTGCCAAACCGAAGGTACAAGTTGGGACATGTTGTGAAATCAAATGACCTCGTACAGTATGGCATCCTGGCACACTCTAAAAGAATCATCGCCACAAACTACGCATTCTAGTAGCTGGTGCGGTAGTCTGTCACTCCCACACTTTGTATGTGAGACCATGTCGGAGCACTGACCGCACTGTGATTAATTAATGAACCCACCTACGGCCCAACGGGCCATGTTAATGTTCTCGTTGTGGTGAGTCTGGATTATTTACATACAGCATTAAAAAGCTTCGCGGTGAGTGACCCAGCGCAAACAATAACTGCTGATCAGGTCCACGAACATCCCATCCAATTACACTCCCTGGAACTAACATGGAAGTGGATGGCATGGTCCCGAAAGGAAGATCATTTTCCTCTACAAACAAAGTCCACTTCCATGTTAGTTAGCTCCAGGGAGTGTAATCAGTATTTACTTCTTCGGCATGTTGCAGTGGCACGGGAGATGCTGGAGTGGCCGGGTAAAATGCAGCAAGCCGCTTTCGGCTTTCGTGCCTGGAATCGGCTTTCGCGACCATGAAACTGAGTCTAGCAAAGGGCCCACTAAAGACGGTGGGGTTAGATGGGATTTGAGACCCCAAACTGCCTCTGCTGCTTGTTGCATTCAGACATGAGCCCTGCTGACGAACCACATATGCCCGCATCTAGCAACCTCCAAAAGCCCAAAAAGTGGCGTGCTTCAACTCGGCCTTCGATGTCGCTTCTATCGTTTTCAACCGACTAGCGCCCAAGCGAATAAATATAAAAACACACACAAAACAAAACAACGTGTTTTTCCCAACAAACTGCTTCCAGAAAATGACAGCTCAGGTTTTGTGCATCCTCTATCGTGAAGTTTCAACCAGATCTCCAGATCGACTCATTCTGAAGACAACTTCAGAGGCCTCCACTGCACCCCCGGGCTCACCATTATCGGCGGCGCCTGTGCCCGGCGCAGGGCCTCCCGGGCGGCGAAGCGGCCCAGTGTGCCGCTGAGGTTCACCAGGGCCTCGGCGGTGTCGTTTGTCGCCTTCAACGAAAGAAAGAGTGTGAAGATAGACATCTACGACTATATACTATATGATACTATATGTCTAAGACTAAGTCTAAGCTCAGTAAGTTTGAATGACTTATGATGTGACTATGACATGACTATGACATACTATGAATCTACTTATGACTCATGACTCTTTAAGACAGTAATACGCAGAAGTAAGCTGCGTAAGCTGACCTGTGACAATTCAATAAGTGTAATGACTAAGCAAGTTTGTCCATTGCACATGACTACGGCTACATCCCTATTCCATGTTGCAATTTTTAGGTCAAAGAGAAGGTCTGCGGGGCTCAGATTCCTAAGCACTTTCGGGTGCCCCTGCCACATCAAGCTTGCCTTCCTCCTGCTGCAAAGGCGGCGTGAGGTTGCACCAGCAAACTAGGCACTTGATGAACCAAATAGGCTCAACGCAATATCAAGGGGGCGAACAGGAAACAACAAGAAACTGCACATCGCAAGAAAAGTGCAAGTTGGCATTCGGGCTTTCGATTCAAGAACCCATTTTGTCAATCCTCCCTCTCTAAGGAGAATCAAAATGGGTTTGTTTCCAGTGTGATCCGCATGTGATCCGCACGTTCAAGACGACTTCCGCCCTTCGCAGCTGGGGGAGTTCATGACCCCCTCGCCTGGAAGGCCATGGACTGCAGCATGTGTCGCAGGGCCTCCAAGAGCCATCGACACACCTTGGCCTTCTGTCGACAACTGGCCAGCTCTTCCTGAGGAGCTGGCGTTTTCTCCGTGGTCTGAGCATGGGGGGGGGGATCCACCTGGATTCCGGGTGGCCTCAGTTTCTGGAGGTCCTTCTGACATCGGGTAGCGAGGCATCTGAGATAGAAGATGCTGAAAGTCGATGTAGAAGTCTTCTTTGAACAGTCGTGGGTTCATTGGCATGGGGGAATGGGAATCCAATTTTGGAATGCAAAAACCTAAACTCGGAGAGCAAATATGAGGGACCCAGGGCTGGCCTGAGTTCATAGTTCAGCAACACTTCCCCACAAAACACTGGAGTCTTGGTTGGGTTTCAGGTCAGAATCGGACCAGAGAGGATTTCTTGTGCCGGATTCGAACATCCTTGGGTTCTCCGTTACGTGTTTTCGACAGCTCAAACCGGAAATCGGATGCGATGGGATGAGGCCGACCCTTGGGCTATGAAACGAACATGCCATGCCTTTCGACTGCGAACATGTGCCTATCTCTTGGAACGCAGGGGGGTTGTCCCACTCCCACCGGTGCCTGGTAATCCCAACCTCGCAGCAGCGCAGCTGCACGCAGCAGCTCAGTTGGCACTTCCAATGTTTGGGATGTCAAGGCCTGCAAAACAGGGCAGGAAACTATTCAACATGTTTTACCCCTCAGAACTCCGGCCTCAAATGGCGTTGTCAAGGACAATGGAGTTTCACGTGGCCACTTAATGCTCATTGTGATTAGTTGAGTCTCGGCAGGGTTGCATGGGGTTCGTCTCGTCTGGCACTTACCACCAAAGACCGGCCTAATTGACACAAAACATACAGAATAATGTGTGTCAAAACCTTGCAAAATGCTGTCCTTCGCAGTTAGTTGCACCTGAGCGAACACAACACTTGTGGCATTTCTTGCCCATTGTTTTCCACAAAGACTTCCACAGTTCCTTCGAAACCCGAAACTCCATACATACTTCATCAATTGTGGATTGAGTCCGGAACCACTGCTAGCATGTATATAGTATAATTCTGCATTATTTGGAAGGTAGTACTTCAAGTAGCCCACTCATTTGTTTTTTTCGTGGGATTTGATCGTGCCTGGTCACGCCCCCCCGGTTCGGACACCTCGGAGAGTCGAAGAAGCACGGACCTTCCACGGCGACACCACACGCTCGGCATGGCTTCCAAAGCCTCGGTTCGGCGCCGTGGCCAACGCTCGTGCGGCGCCGTGGCCGGTTGGCGTCTATCACAGGGTGAATTGGCTGATGCGAAGGAAGGACAAGCGATCATGATAGCATTCAGCAATGCTCTTCAAAGACGCTCAGAGTTTATAAGGCCATAGTTAGTTAGTTAGTCTAGAACTACGGAATCCTGGAATGATACCGAGCGATAGTGAGAGCACATTTAGGTGCAACCCCCACACCACACTGTAAAAAATGTATGAAGGGCGTGGATGTCTGCATTCAGAGTTTCCATCACTCAACTGGATATGCTCAGGTGCCGCAGCCAGCGGCATAAACTATGCCACTGCCTGTGTGTTATTTTATCTCTTTGTGTCACAATGCAGGTTGTCTATCTATCTGTCTGTCTCTGTCTCTGTCTCTGTCTCTGTCTCTGTCTGTCTCTGTCTGTCTCTGTCTATCTCTATCTCTATCTCTCGCTCTCTCTTTCTCTCTCTCTCTATCTCTTTCTACCTCTACATATATACTATGGATATAGATATACTCGGTCTATCCTATTACCTGTAACAGTGGATGATGATGGTTAGTAAAGGCCTTGCTCAAAAAGAATGATAATTGTTTACTGACAGACCCCATACATAAATATATATATATATGCATACTTACACGATCTTATGTCCTTGTTGTCTTCGTTTTGGCTCAGGACTCAGGAGCCCCAATGTTCTCAGACCAAGCCACTTCCCAGCGCTCCGCTTCACCCTCAAAGGGGAAAATGACATGGTCCACGACATCCTCATGGCTCAGCATGGCAGGGAAGTGATGCCTTTCAAAGAGTCAGTCTGTTTGAAAGGGAAGGAGCGAGTCTTGGGCTCCAGGAATCTGACTTCAATTTCTTCCTTTCCTCACTGATGCCTTTCGGCGTTCCAAGAGTCATAGGGGTTCTCCGGTAGTGCGAAGCCATAGTTGAGCAAGAGAGTTTCATTGTCCGCTTGCCCTTTGTAGAGGTGGAAGACCTGCAACAGGTGCATGACCAAGCACGTGCCTGTGTTCTGCGGTTGCTGCCAAAACAATGAAAGCAATCAAACTGTACTATGCTGCTTTTCTCAGCCAAGAAACTCTACAATCTGGCATCAGCTTTGAAATTTGGGATTCCAAAACAAGTTATAATTAGCAGCCATAGCCATAGCTAATTAATTGGTTTACTGTAACATAGTTCAACTCTAAACTAGCCCTCGGCTTCCCTATGGGTTGACCTTTCGCACTGGTTCATCATGTCTCGCACAGGTCAAACCAATCCAAGCTACCACAGGCCCCGCTCAAAAGCGCGGCATTCGCACCAAACCCCGCTGAACAACCGGACGAGCTCGTGCACCTCCTCGCCCTCTTCGTAAGGGGATGCGGTGTCGGGCAACCAAAGGCCTCGACTCCGCGACAGAATGGCCCAGTCGGCACCGATGGGTAGGCTCTGGCTCCGGCGTGCGGAATCCCAGCATTGTGCCTGCGACCTCTTAGCCTGATGGTCTTGTAATTACAGCAGTAGCATGTTTGGAGTTCGCTTGGAAAAATGGCTGGAACTGTGACTATTACCCCGATATAAATTTAGATGATTCGCTAACGACTAGCGGCTAGCGCTATGACACATGCAGCACCAAATGACTCTCTGTCCACAATGCTTGTACCCGTGAAGACTCAGCCCACCTGCGGTCTCTTCGCCATAGCGGGCCTGATGCTGTAGCACTACTGTGCCAGTACCGATATGATATGGACAGCAGTGTCAGCTCGGGCCGGTTTGCGGGAGCCAGGTTAACAATTTCACATCGAGACGTCTTGAGTGAACTAGTTAAACTATATATATATAATATAAACCCGCTCGTTGGGAGTCTTCACATGTCTTCACCATGTCAACACAATTGGTTCAACAGTTGTGAAGACCTGTTCTTGACTTGTTCTCTGTCGGTGCTGCTCTTGCGCGGTTGCAACATCTTGTTCAAGGGAGGGGGCCCGACAAAGCCTGTGACCAGCACACCCAAAAAGGATTCCAGCTTGTCAGCCTATCCCGCTCAGCCGTCCAGTGCACCTCAACTTCAGCATCGGGCTGATGGTTCATGGAGTCCAAGAGAGGGCACATGGCAGCAGACTCCCAATCCTCTGACCTTGCCAAAGTGTCACTGCATGATCGAATTTTGGCCATGGACCCTTGCGTCTGGGAGACCAGTCCTGGCTTCATTGGAAGTGCAACCCCCAAAAACTGGTCACACTATGTCACACTGATTATTGAACAGGAGGATTCCACCATTCTCTAAAACCATCAGCCAGGGCTCGTTCTGCCTTTGTCAGCCCAGGTTTGGGTCCTTCAGGCCCAAGGGCAAGGCACCAGGCGAGGCTACTTCGCGACATCTGGATAAATCGCCCCTTACAGATTACATGTTCTCAAGCACGATGCTAGACCCTCAAGGTTCACCCTATATCACTATTGGAAGGAAGCCGGTGAACACTGTGAACACTCATAACATCTCATAACCTCATCTTTCCACTTGGTGGGTTGCTATGCCTCCTTGCGTGTCTTTGAGTGTTCCAGACCTATCTCAGGAAACTTCTTGTGCCCCCTCCTCCCTCCACCCTCCACCAGGGCCTGGGGAAGGCTGCTTGATCAAAGCTTCGGGAGAGGTAGCAGTGCCTTGCCCACAGCCAATCTTCGAAGCTTCCCGCCACCTGGTGCCCGCCGTCACGGTGTTCGGGATCGGAAGACCCACATCGCTGCCACGTGCCTCCCCGAGCGAAGCACGGAGCTCCGCATGCCTCGCTTCCTGCTGTGCGATCACCTGCAAGGAACATGCTCATGTTGGTGCAACGCGGCCACACAGAAACATCCCCAACATCCTGCAACAGTGGCCTCCTAGCAGTCCAAGAGCAAAACGGCACTTGTCACCATTCAGAACGGCTCAGAAGTTCAGGCACTCGAGAATGTACAGAGGTTTCAGAGTAATTGGATGGCACAGGCTCACAGACCCCAAATGTCTTTTAGATGATGAGGGCCAAAATAAACCTCCTCTTGGGGATGGTGCCATCTACTCTGAAACCATTGTACCATTTCTAGTTGCTCCATGTTGCTCCATCATAACCGGACCCACCACAACAGCGATGACCGCGGTGACGCCTCGGCTGCAGTCTCCAGTGATGTCCCTCGCAGCCATCGGAGCGCCTCCGCGCTGCGCAGCCAAGGCCTGGTGACGTCGCTCCAGGTGCTGAACGAGGTCGAAGAGGGTGCTGACCGGTTGGTTGTGGAGGAGTTTGTGTCAGGGTAAGGTAGGTAGGACTTGCAAGGTCACAAGATGTCACAACAGGTTGCTCAAGTCTAGGCAATCCAACTCTGGATAGACAAAAAGGATGAGTAGAAGATAGTAGAAGTCTGTGTTGTCGTTTGCTCTTTTACCGAAGCGCGTTTCGTGTCCAAAGCCAAGCTTCAAGGGATCGCTCGGCAAGATCTGCAGGTAGGGATACCAGTCACACGAAAGCTCCTCGCTGTGCGCGCAGAAAATACGGTTCTGAATGACTAGGCAAACATTTGATGACTAGGCAGACTATAGGCAACTGAGACTGGAGTTTGGCCAAAGCACATGTGTCACTCTCTCGAAGAAGCCCAACGACATGCTCTCAGCCACGCCGCGCGAACGGCGTGAGAAAGGTCGAACACCTCCACACTGCGCAATGGGATCCCGACTCGAGCGGCGACAGCTTCTCCCACCTTGCGGCCCCAAATCATGTAGAGCCACAAGAACCTCAGCGGAGGAGAGTGACCTGCATATTGGTGGTCTGATCCGAAGAATACATGCACATATACGTCATATACGCAGCAAAAGAGAGCAACACTCCCTCGAAACTCGCACAATATAAAAACTGTCCGGGCACTGCTGTTCCTGGAATGTTAGATGATCTCCACGAGCACAAGAAGCTTCAAGTGGCCGCAAGTGGACGATTGCACCATTTCGGCACAACCGTGACATCAATAACATGGCGACCGACTTACTTCGAAATCTGTTGAATTCCTCTCACACAATGTTAGCTGCAAATGCTCGTGTCTAAGCTTGGACACTCTGAGTGTGGTCCAAGCTCCTTTGTATCCTCCCAGGCCAGACCAGTACCCAGAGCAAAGCACCCACCATTCCAAACCCTCAGTACTTGGGGGCATTCCTTTGTTCCATCCTGTTCCGCTTGATCTGTCGAGGAGCTCTTCGCCCTTTACCTCCAGAATCTCCGGTGTGGCCGTCACCCAGGCCGCTCGAGCAGCTTTGGTGGTCAGAAGGGCCTGCCCGGTTTTCCCCGGTTGGGTCGAAACCGCGCGCGGCCAATGCTTCCAAATGGAAGACCTGATCTCATTGAGCAAAACATATAAAATCATATAAAGTCAGGTGATCAAATATATAGGTGATCAATATAAGATCAGCTCCTTAGAGTTGCGATGCATGATCCACTTCAGACTTCGGGGTTTCATGAGCATGCTTAGCCCCTTGTGACTCACATGCTGAACAACAAGCCTACCCTTGAGGCCCTACAAACCTGCAGAAATACGTGCACGGCCGTTTCACACGCCCGCACCAGCGTTCCGCCTCCTATGACCACCTAAACCTAAACCAGGGAATTTCACCAAGGACTGACTGCTCTGATGTCTGATGTCTGTACAGGGTTGGTTGTCCTGCTCTGAGCACGTCTTCCGCACACAACGATGGGGGGATGGGTCAAAGCCTGGAGTGCGTCGCTTGACCTCCCAGGTAGGGATCCTGGTGCAATGACCCACAGTCATATTATTACGTGGTGCTTCGGCTGCCCTGCACTGCAGCCGTGCGGCCGAGATAGGAATCCTGTGGACACGAGTGGGGAAGGTGGAAGAGTCGTAAACGACTCTAGGCCTCCAATGGATCAACTCACACAATTTCTCCGGACTCGGCGTTTCTGCCGGAGCCTTAAAGGGACGACTTCCAAAACCAGCGGCCCGGGTAACCATGGCTCCCAGCATCAAACAATGAGCAACACGGCAAGTGCAAATCAAAAGACCTCCAACAAACTAGTCTCCTATATCACTAATCCTACTGACAAAATCTGGCTCATGGCTGTGGACATTCCAGAAGAGGTGCCAAATTGCAACCTGGTAACCAGTGCCACTGCCCACCATCCAGAGAAGGGCCAAACAGATTTTGAGGATATAATTACTTCCAAACTTCCAAATGTGCCTGTTCCGTCGTTTTGGACCACCAGGCTGACCGTCACCAAACATCACCAAATCCACTGTGAATGGTGAAAGAGGGAGTCGCTTGCCAAGTCAGTACAACATTGTGATAATAGTGCAGTTTCGCGGACCACGGCCAATGACAAATGAATGACCTCATTTACTGCATAAAGCATTGTCAGGCGTGTGATGTGTGGCTGGCAAAAAGTTTAAGCCCACAGGATACAAACAGTTCAAGTACATGTATCTATAATCTACAAGGGAAGTCAGCAAACAGTATTGATATGTAATATATAGATGGGAGAATATGGGAGACTTATCTACATTGGTATAGCAATTTCAGCCTCACTACCGTGAGTCTCTACTTGTTGCTTGTTGCCCAAGCCCCTGTCCTCACCAAAAGCTCCCCTGGCTCAATTCTTCGAGTGGCCTGAAGCAATCTGAAGCCAAGACTCGGTGTGACATGTTATTCTAAGGAAGGGTAGGCCGGGTGACCCTGGACCTGGCAGTTCCAACAAGTGCGGTGACCAGTTCAACCAAGTTCCTGCAGGCCCGGTTTAAGTGTCTTTCAGAAACGCCGGATGATGAAACAGCTGGTAACCAATTGCAGCGCAGATTGGAAGCCAGGATTTGGATTGACTATGTTCGTTGGTTTGGTCTGGGAAGTCAACTGTGCAAGAGAAAGGTGCTTGGACTGTGTGGCAGGCGATAAAATGCACCATGACAAACCGTAGGCAACGCTAGCGGCTACAAAAGCCAGACGACAAGTTGCACGCGAATGAGCTTCTGTACCTTATGGAGTGCATTAAGACATTAGGATTTTTCGTGGCACACCACTCTTCCATTGTCTCAGTATATATGCGAAAAAGTGTTCACGTTGTGTCCACGCACCCTGAAGACTCAACCAACATGTTTAGAATTAAGTACCATATGCGACACAGTTTCGTCACATATGGTTCCAAGACATCTGCTTATGACCACTGGGGCAACCTTTCTATCTCACCAACGCCGTAGACTCCCGTGCTGCAGACCAAGCCGCGTAGACACCCACCCCCCCCATGCGCATCGGGCCGTAGCTGGACCCCCAAGGCCTGGTGGAGGCTTTTGGGCTGCCCCATTGAGCATCCACATGTGAAAGCATCCAGATCATCCCGGGGGTGATCCGCTTTTTCTTGCCCATCGACAAGATGTGGAAGCGGATGACGCACCTATTGAAATCAGTTTTATACAATTTAGGGGAGATGATTGAGAACATACCCTGTCAAACATCGGCATCTGCACACCATCTATCTACATGTTTTCTTCTCCCGGGCACCATGGAATGGTTGCTCTTTTCGCAGGCCCTGCTGGCACCTCTACATCGACCGAATGCTTCCGCTTCATCCAGTCCACAAAGTCTTGCACCTCCGAATCACCGGATAGGCGGCGGCTGTAGCGTTGGTGAGTCGAGTGGTGACCGAGATTGAACAAAGAATCGAACTTAGCGAGAACACATCGGGATAGATGGACCAAAGTGAAAGCTGCGCTTGAGAAGTAATACAAGTCTCTTGGTCCTGGAATGAGCGGGATTGGGATAGGTTGGGTATAGCTTATATACCTGGATGATGGTTTGCTAGTACTCACATTATGTTAGGTCAAGAGTTACTGGCATGGGTGAGTGGCTAGAACCAAAACTGACCTGGTTTTCCCTCGCGTTCCTAAGCTCCATCCCACGCTAGCCCACAACAACAAAACACACATCCAAGAAATGTCATTCCTGTACATGAAGGCCTCCCCCTTCGCATTCCCTATCTCACCTTCGTCTCCATTGGCGGCAACGTATGTCATGCGATGCGCCCGCTGCAAAAAGCCGCTGACCCTCTTCTACAGTTCCTTAAGGGAACCGAGGCATGAGCATCATGACGAGCATGAACCCAAGGGTCAACAAACCGATTAGTTGCTCGACGTCTTGAGATCTCTTCAGCGGCTCTCTAACATAAAGCTCATGGTTGTCTGTCTGTCAACTCGGCTGAGCTCTGGCAAGAAGTGACAAATGTAAAGAACAACTGAGTGCGGCAATAATGATATATTCTTTCTTTGCCACATGTTTCAGGTCTTTGTGAAACATATTCACCTTGTCTACATTCGCTGGTCTGAGCCAGATCCGATGCTGAGGGGTTTCTAGAGAAGCTTGACCCACGAGCTGTTCTCTCATATTCTCTTGAAAGCCAGCCCAGGGGCTCAAACACTTGCTAGGCAAAAGGCTGAAGGAAAAAGAATACAGTGCGTGCTTTGCTGTATGTATTCTGCGGTGATTATCTTGATCATCTGATTGTCCAGGCACTCTTGAATCAGGGCTTCCACCTGGCAGCTGATGCGGCTTTTGTTCCCGACCCCAAGCCCCAAGCGTTGCTCAACTTCCAACACGCTGGCACGGTGGATGGACGCAGCTGTCCCGTGTCCTGGGTTGGCACACATGCGCGGCAGCGCGGCTTCAGCCTGGGCCAAGCACATCTGGATCAGCATGGGCAAACTGGTTACCACCAATCCTGCCGGGTAGCAGGTTTCTTCCAGGTGCTACACTGCTGTGTTACCTGGGGAAAGCTCGCTTGAAATCGGTTTGAACCCCCGGCGTGCAATGGTGATTGTCACTGGCTTTGTGCCAAGCCCTGATGCACCTCGTCTTGTTTGCATGGGGGATGAAGGTAACGTTGGGCTAAGGTGTTGGTTCAACTGCCATCAAATACCACAAAGGGTGTTGGTTCATCTTGACAGCCCGGACGGTGGCCATGGAAGTCGAAATCTGCTCAAAATCAACCCTGCATCAATAACAGCCTTGAAACCCGAAAAACAACGCCAGCATAGAAGTAAGAACCCCAATAGCTCTCGCCATCTGGGGAATAACTCACAGTCTGCCCTCCCAGAAGCGCCTCTGGCCTGAGATCCTCTGTTCGTCTCACGCCACCCGGTTCGCGGTAGCGGCAGAACGGCCCCGGCAGGAGGAGAACAATGCTTGGGCCACAAAAACCACGAGCTACAAGGAGTCAGGCAACTTGTGCAAACTGCGAAGTCAACCAATAATCAATAATAACTACTTTGGCACATGAGAAAAGTGAAGTAAAAAAAGAGGTTGTTGGCTGCCTCATCATCCAACTTCCACCCTTTCGGAAGAGGAACTTGTGTCATATTTGGATGCGCCCGATCACAAAGCGTATGGCAAACAAACAGTGGGGTGAAACTACAACACCGGAATGGACCTCAAACTTTAGTCCTTTAAGAATGCCTGTGTCCTGGAAAAAAACTGACTTTTGAGACAGTGCCATCTGCTAAATTGTGAGGCCCACTTGTAACTTCACTAGTACACTAGCTATACAATACAATTCAGGCTCAGGAGGGTTACAAAAGAATATATGGTGATGTATTACATTGTACACTATACTATATTGTACTAAGTACTATATTGTATATACTACTTGGTGAGCGGGTGGCAGCAATCAAAGGGATTCCCTCAAATCATTCATCCCGCACACAGCATGGGGGGCGGCACTGTAGAAATTGGATATCCTCGACACGAGTCGGAACCAGCAGCTTTCTCCTTGGCAGGGATGAGGCTTTCCAGAAGAAACGCTACAAAGTTGTACGTCATTCATCCCAACTCGATACTGCAAGCAAAATCCTCTCTCCCACTGCCAGTATATCTCTCTCTCTAGTCGTTGCGGGAGTTTGGAGGCATCACCTATATAACTGCCTTGTGTGAGAAAAACACGCCACGTTTTGTACCCACCTGCCTCACTGTGACTATATGGAGCTTACTGCAATGCGCGGCAGCTGCAAACACACCCCAAAAATTGAATATACTAAGCTCTTGGCACGTGCTGGTCATCGCCTGCGATTTCTTCTCACAACATCTCGCAACTGTTTTTTTGTTTTCTCTGACTTGACTTGTGCTTCACACTCATGTCGCCCCCACCTGGACAGGGAAAACAAGTACGGTACCTTTGAGAAAATCGTGTCATGCAAATGAAGAAGAAAACTTCAATTGAAGAAGCTAAGCGCGTCAAACTACTGGAACTACTGAAGCACTCAGCACTCTATAAATTCAGGACCCCCAGACTGAGACCAAACTCAAGTTGGCATCGAACACACCATGACACACCTTCCCAATCAAGCAAATCAAGACAAGAACCCCGATTTGACGCTACATGATGCTAATAACTGAGGCAAAACTGAGGATCGCATGTTGACATCAACGATTTTTCACAATTCTTGCTCCAGTGCAGGTGGTCCATCGAGTGGCTGATCCAACAAGTCTTCGGCATGATATGCATGAATTTGAAATCCACAGAATTGCATCGACATCAGGTGCGTTACAAAGCTATAGTTCAGTGTCACCAGGAAAAAGTATTGTCCGCCGCTACAAAAAATCTTCACCTCTGCCTCCAAGCACCCAGGCACTCATCACTCTCCCCAACATGCGGATGACGCGGACAAGGCAACTCCTTTTTCTCAGGTGAAGGCCGTTTCATCCGAGGGAGGCCCAGGTTGCGGGGACCACTCCTTCCGCTTCGTCTCCAAGCCCTGGTAGGTGTGCCTCAGGACGATCGTGGCTCTTGTTCGCACAGCTTCGAGACCTCTGATTTACAATCTGATTTCAAATAGACAACCCCCATGGACCCTCCCGGTCGGAGGTCGAGGTGGTTCTCTTTCATCAAGGTCCATCTTCGAAACCCGGCGAACAGTGGCGAAAGTGGTTTCCGTCTCCAAGGATCTCTCCCTTCTTCTCCTAAAATCCATCCATGAAGGCTAAACGGAGGGTGTGTGGAGAAAGGGGGTCAGCAAAACTCGCTTATACGAAGTTAGTGCATCAAAAATACCTTCCACGAAGTTCTGCGAAGGTTTATGAAAATTCGTTGCAGTCAGTTCTCCTACTGGCCCACCATTCCACGAACTGTCCACGAACAGCCTTGGGTTCTACGAAGGTCACGCGCCTTCCACGACGTTAGTAGAATAGGTTTTTGCAAAACCCTTTCTGTGCACTACCCTTCCGTTTGCCTTTGAATCCAAGCCGCGGCGTCTGCCGGATCTTCTTCCGCGTCTTCTCCAGACTCTTGTCATGCTGATAGCCCATCTGGCTTCGAATGCGGAGCATCTGCTCGTCTTTCTGGTCCTGAAGGCCCGAAGGCTGGTGTGTTCGTTTCGCGGTGAGGGAGTGACCCCACCTCCATCAAACACGCGGTGATGCGCCACCAAAACTGATGTTGAAACTCCTTAGGGTTCCTTAGTAAAACCACAGTTGGCACTCCAATGTATATACCTTGAGTCTCCAAAGACCTTTTTTTTCTGCGTTTTTGTTTTTGGTCTAATATTTTTGCGTTTTTGCTCGAAAAACGCGTTTTTAGAGATGAGGACTCAAAAAAAGGTGCAGAGTGAATCTTCATCCGGACGCGTCCGGCACGGACGCTTAAAGACGCCTTTTGGACGCAAAAAGATGCGTTTTGGACGCCGAAAAAAGGTCTCAGGACACTGTCTAAGGAGGATCTGACAGGGCACAAACAAAAAAGGAACATTTCGTGACATATGCAAAAAAGAGTGCTTTCTTTCAAAAACCTCTTTTTCTTGGAAAGGCAAATTTAAAAGGGTCATTGGAGACTCAAGGTACTTCAATATATGTCAACATGCGGATCCTCAGTGAGGTGCCGCCAAAAGCAATCATGCAGCGTCACCACTCGAAGCCCAACCTGGCGGACACTCCAACTCGAGTTCACTGGGTGTGGACAGGATTTGCCAGCCAATTGCAGGCACATCAGTTCACCAGCGATGTCATTTGAAGTTCTAGTCACGTTCGTCCAGATGTTGGCATTCCCTGGCATTCCGAGATCCCAAATGACCACATGACCGGTCCGGGTCGGTCAATACAAGGGTTGAGACTCCCCTGACCTTCTCGGGTAGATCAATCTGCTTGCCCTACGCCAGGGGGTGCTCCGCTGCCCAGTCACATGCAAGCTCGCCTCCCATGCCTCTCAAATCGACCCAAAGCATCACATGGGGAGAGTGACCTACTAGCCTACTGACCTACCCAACTGACATGGTTTTGTAGATAATGAATACGGCCAACTTGATCCAACAGGCCCAATGTATCCCAATGTGGTTTCCCTCTGGGATAGAGAAATGGGGTGATGACAGGTGATGCGACCTTGAACTAGCATTATTAACAGCACAATATAACACATTTGCCAGAATGGGCAGCTTGCTTTTGCTACCTGTTCGTTGTACGATTCTCTGTTCATTCTGATCCCAATCCCTCTCCCTAACCATCCCTGGTCAGCCCATGCTCCGGGCACCTTGCGCGCAATGCGGGACTTCAATGCGATCCATCCACTTGGCCGTGGACGACCTCGTCCCAAGGGCAGCATGCTGTCGCACTCGAGGGCCACCTAGAGGACGACAGCAAATCATGACACGGCAACCCCCATGGCACCCGTCTCCACCAGAGTGGGAAGATGGGAGAACACTATGGAATCTGATCAGGTTGGACATTCATGAAATACACCAAGATATACCAAGGACATTCCGAACGAAAATAGTTGAATATGGTTGAAAAAAGTTTTTCTCCAAATGACATCAAATGACCAGAAATGATTTACTGATCTGACCTCTCCTCATCCTGGAGTTCTGTTCCATTGTGCAATCTGTTTCTGTTTTGCAAAGCGGTGGAGAGCCAGCTCGGTGGGCCTTGGGCTGCATCAAGAAGCCAGCAAACCAGCAGTGCTGCTCGTCCCAGTCTCGACCAAATGAGCAGTTCAAGAGGGCCTTGAACAAAGCCAGCGATTTCGCAATTCCAAGAAGTGTTCACCCGTTTGGTATAGTCTTCCGGTAGATCCATTTAACTTTGCTTGTTTGTGAGCATTCCCTAATAGAAAATCCAGGACAAAGAATACTGACAAATACAGTAGGTTTTCTCCACTCTTTTGTCAACTTATCTGTTTGCAATCCCGCAATCGTCTTGACCCAAGTACTGCACGCATAGCAATAGTAGCAATATAGTTCAAAAAACGCTGATGAAGCAGGGAAACACAAATCTATAACTTACCATCCCGTACAATCCCCTACAGTGCCATGTAAGGGTCCCAAAGTAGATGACACAAAACCCCGAAGAACTGCTCTATTAAATTGTCATTCCATTGACCTGTCTGAAAGAGTTGTCCAGATTCCCGTCCATCCCTGGCCACGATGCCTGGCCTGGGTGTTGGTGCGTTGCAGGCAGCGATCCACATCGCGCTGCATCTCGTCGGCGCCCTGGCACGGTCGACGGTCCGACCAGGCGGCGGCGGCCCAGGCGGCCGCTTCTAACTGCTACCGGTTTTTCATCGACGCTTCTTCCCGATCGTCTTCTTGTCATTGAGTTCTCAAGTCTTCTCGCTGTGCAGCTTCTGCGCACCCCTCACCCCCCGTTGATGACACTTGGTGCACACGAGAAACCGATGCGGCCGCCTGGGGCTGAGCTAAGAGCACGATGTCATCCAGCCACCGGTGGTGGAGCACCTCCTGCGCAGAGGTGGTCGAGAGTCTAGACTGTACCTGACAGTCTGTACCATACGACTGACAGTATCTGTATCTGTCAGGTATGGGAAATACCCCGGCAATTCTTTAGAATGCCCAAAGTGTATTGCAGCTTGGCTTGGTTGCAGTTGTCCGACACTGATTAGAACACACCATTCATGAAACCTGACACACATTGAAACTCTCGGAGCATTCTTATGACCTCAGCGAAAGACCTTCACATCTCAGGGGGCCATGCACACACACGAAACAATGCTGAAAACACGGAAACCATCGATGTGGGACTTCAGGTCTCACGCGGGTCTCACGCCGCCGGGTCTCCGGCACGAGACCGAGGCTCCTGGATCCACATGGGCATTGCACGCTTCACCTCGACCGGCATCCGTACGACGAAACGGTGTGGATTTCCAGGGCACGCACACAAGGGTGTGAGGCAAAGCAACATGGCTGTCCTCACTGGTGTCCATGGCTCGTGGTATGGGGGAGATGCAAAAATCAAAAACAATCAAAGAATCACGGGCCCTCCATGAATGGAGCTGGCGTTCATTGAGCTCTGGCTAGCAGTCATTAAAAATCGAAATGCAAATGTCCCGCCATAGATCGCCATAGCAGGTACTTGAGCCTCAAGCTTCTGGAGCTCCAGCTGAAACCGATTTGCAGGATATTCTGCCAGTTCTAAAGATGAAACCCGTCGGGTTTTCTTTGTTGTGAACCCGAGCGGCCGCTTCCTCACAGGCGGGTTTCTCGACATCCACGCAGTAGAGGGTCTGGTAGAGAAAGAATTGGGCCCAACCGGAGTTTTCCAACTCCGTCTTCGTCCTCAGACGTTGCAGCCAGTCTGCCGGGCAGAGTTCCAAAGCAAGCCCCCTGGGAGAAAGAAACCGCCAAACGACCTCCTCATGAGCACCATACGACCAATGTGTAGCACGATAAGAGTTCTCTTGAATAGTCACTATGGAACACCAACAAGCAACCTACGATGCTTAAGTCTTTGAAACACTCTGTGGCCTGCATGAACTGGCGCCAATGCCAACTATGAATGCAGAATTAACATTATCGAGTACACAATTCTTGGGAAATGTTTGTTGGCCGAAATGGCCTTGAGACTCTTTCCTCAAATCTAAGGGCTGTATCTCAGAACGGCCACTGGACACATTTGAATACACAGTGTGTCCAGAACTCTTGGAGACATCCCCAATGCCATTATGGGCCAACTTTGAACAGCCACCTCAAGCTGCTCACCCAAGCTACACATAACAAGCTCCCATTCCGAAGCTCCCATCACCCACTTCACCTCTCACCGGTCGGTGAAATATGGCTCAGGGACCGAAAACCCAAACTATTCTGAGCTATTCACATCATGGAACCTGCAAGTGTTGCATGATTCTTTGTCCACGACGACGTCTTTGGCTCAAATTCATTCAAATTCCACAGGCTGTGGGCCACCGTTTTGGTCTTGGCAACCCCCGCCAACTGAAAGGATAACGCTTGGGACTTGAGCTACGGAATGTTGAATACTCTGCCGATTCATGAAGAATCATCTCAAATTCTAAAAAAAACATCAAAAGCACTTGGGGGGAGTAGAGGCTTAGGCCCTTAGAGGCTGGCGATTCATCCCAACTTCTCTGGCTGCTGCAATGAAACATCAGCACACGTCCTGGAGCTTCAAAGTCAGCTCTCCCTCCCCCAATCAGCTGCTCCGATGCAAGGTGCGCCAGGAGTTGACAGGCCCGGCTCACAAAGAGAGGCAGAACCGGGACCCCGCTGGGCCTCATGGTGCAATGGATGTTTGCGGCATATCCACCAGCAGACCAGTAAACGGTTAATTTAGTTCATTTCCTGTATGTCCAGGGTTTTGAACAGGATCTTCCCACCTTCATGCAACAAGAATGAGCATCATGAGCACCCAACGGAGCATCCAATGAACCTCACGCAGTGGGGGTGTCCCATCCAAAAATGCCTTGAAGACCGGTGTGAAAACGTTGCAGCTCCACCATGCTCTACGATCGTCTCGTGGAAGGCATGAAACGGCTCCATTAAATTACATTAAATTCATGGGTGCATTGAACATGGACTTTGCTGCCCACCGAATGTCTACAAACCAACCCGTTTTGGCCTTCGTCCCCTTGTTTGGACGGCCAACATCAACCAATCACGGACGGATCCTCAACGTCCCGCTCCCAACCGGGGGTTCGTCTGCCGGCTGCGAACACTTGGTGAGAATAGTTCCGAGCCCCAAACACCCATCGAAGGTACCCTTCAGCATCGCAGTGATTCGACATAACCAAGGCAAACGCAGCGCGAGCCCAGTCATGAACGGTCGTCTCATCATCAGCATCTCGATTGGCTAACTCCTGCCAGCTTGTGCTGTGAGCCGGCAGGGTGCAGCGGAAGGGAGTGCAAATCCCAGACGCTCCATGTATACCATCTATATGCCTACATTGACCCCTCAAACCACCCCAATATATACCATACATGGAGCCTCTGGGAATGTGAATCTCGTCCCACAGCCCGTCGCAGCCCTGCTCTCTCGAGCACTTCAGCTAACTCGCTCACTGCATTGATGCGTCCACTGATCCATCACACCCTCTACGCCACGAACGTGGAGACGCCTCCTGCAACCTCCTGCAACTCTACGGACGGTTGTTTTTCAACACAAACCCTAAAGCCCTAAAGCCCTAAACCATCCTAAACCCATCTAAACCCTATCCCTGCATGCAAGGCACAAATTTCACGGATTGTCCCTAGCCTATGGTTCTCAAGTTCGGAATCTTCACGGATGGAACTCCCAATGCGTCTCGGACCGTGACGGATGGTATCCCAACATCTGTCAACCCATAACGTTCCCATCTCCTGAGCGAGTTTCTGGCATATGCCGCTATAGTCAGGGCTGCGTTCCCCGGAATCGTCGTCAAACATGATGGGATCATCTCCGCCAAGCCCCAGGGAGGACAAGGAGTGAAGAAGCAAACCTCATTGCTGTTGGCTGAGATGCTTTTCGTCGAGATTTTCCGGGTTGGCCCCCCTTCAACCCCATGCTATCCCCCAAAAAACGTGATCAGCAAATGTTCCAAAAAGGCATCAGCAGGTACAAGTTCAAAGGGTCTAAACACAACCCATTGAACCCGCTGCACCCCCGCACGAACAACAGAAACAACGCCTATGATTATGCAACTTGCCAGTTAAAGTCTGAGTCACTCAGTGCCTCAACGCGCCAAGCCCTTAGAGGTGTCAGTGCAAACAAGAAGTTCGCAGGATGGAGGCGTCCACTCAAGCAAATGATTCGTCCAATGGGACCTTTCACGGATCAACACCTATAGACATGAGATATGCATCGCACGCAAACGTTGGTAACAAACAAACCCGGCTTTTCTCAAAACACATGACTGAGAAATTGCTACCAATCAGTACCAATCTAGTATTGTATTGTCATCTATATATCAAGTCTCAAGAGTCGAATCTGGAAAAATCCGAAACAATGGGAGAATCCCTGGGGGATTCACGTGGGTTGCTTTATGTCGAGGTCAGAGAAAGAGAACCCCGATCAATGCATGTCCTGTGAAGCTGGGAGCTGGAAACTCACACCAAGCATGACCAATTCTGGGCAGAAGCCTCGTTAACCATCTCATGCATATATTTATATGCTCATGTACCGGTAGGGTTTCACCGTTGGCCTACCGTTGGCCTAACCAAAAAACACCCACCCACACACACACATCCCTTCCTTGCTTAACCTTTACAGTCTCACCTTCGCCCGGACGTTGGGGCGGAGGCACTTGACATGCCGCAGCACTGCCGGCAGGAGCTGCGGCATGAGCGGAGCACAGCGGTAGTCCAAGGAGGCCATGGAATACCTTGGGTGGACAGGTTCTGGGTGGACAGTCATGGGAGCGCGTCTGGCGATGCGGAATTCCCTACGGGATGGTATTTATTTAAAGGTATTTAGGTTGGTTTTTGTCTGAAAGGTGGAAATGATGATTGGATCTGCCAGGGATGCTCGTCTGCTTTGTTCTTGCTCTTGCTACTTATATAGAGCTTCAGTTTTCAGGAGAAACTCTTATGTTGAGAGCTATGCATCTCAGGCAACTGAAAATCCTTTGATGCTGTTCTAGCATACAGCGTGTCTCAATATCGAAGTGTGACCCCAGTTATTAAATCCTTACTGTACTAAAGGCACCAAGGCAAACCAAAATGATCCTACGCTCCAAGGTGGCGCTGTCACACGATGTCACACGCCAAGTCGCATCAGCAGGGGCACCACAGCATCTGGAAGATCAGCTCGAACCTGCGACAGTCGCGACCCGGGGCAATCCAGATCTTCAGGGACTCCATGGCCAATGATCTTGTGTCTTTGTTGGGTGTCTACAAGAATGTCGGCCCACTGGGAGACCCAGGTATCTGGGTGGCACAAAGGGAACAATGATCATCGATCTACCGTTCATGTTGAATTCAAACTGGGAATCGGAGATGGAATCTGCCAAAAAAAAACAATGTGGTATGAATCACTCATGCGTGGTTTTGGAGAAGTGAACGTGGTTCAATATATTTGTGGACTCTTTGGATGCTTTTCTCAAACTCATCCATTGGGCACGCGACCCCTGGTTTTGTGAGCATCTGTCAGTCAGTCCTGGGAGTTCTACAACTAATATACAATATCTATCTATTATCATGATACAAATTAGTGCGTTTAATGATTTTTAATGGGTGGAATCCTTCCACGCCCTGTCCGTCCCCCGGTGGGCCCACCTTCCACAGGTCGTGGGCCAAGCACCGGAAATCCCGGTGCCGGGTGAGGATTTGCCGGTCGGCTGAGGAGAAGAAGGAGTTGGGATCGAAGAGAAACCCCAGCTGGGCGAAGGCTCGGATCAAGACCTGCAGGTCGTTGTCGTTCAAGAACTTGGGGTAGCAGGTTGTGAAACACCGAAGCAGTGAGGCGTTTGATGTTGGGGTTCTCTCACGTGTTTCGGTTGTTCTTGGGCGACGAGGTCTGACATGTTAAAACCAAACTAGAGTATGCTTGGCGCGCCCAGGGTATGGACAAGGGTCAATCATAGAATCGGCACAGCGGCACTGCACGGGATCATTTGCCACGTCAGTTAAGACGCCACAACCCGAAGTTCCGAGCGCCAGGTCGCCAAATGTAGATGGTGTATGAGTCGCGGATCTCCTTCTCTGACCAGCTCTTCTTTTCACTATTTCTGTATTTTTGGGTATGATTGTGATAGGTGCACCCACTCCTTTTTGCCTCGTTTAAGATATGGATAACTGAGCTACTCCGCATCACTCAAAGTCAAGCACTCTCGGGTGACCCTGCCGTCGCGTCCATGCCCCCACTCTGCACATGGCGCCGGTAGATCTCGAGCACCTGGCTTGCTGAAGTGCTTGCACAAATATGCAAAAATCATCTACAATCTACGTACACATTAGATGGTATATAAACTATGCTTATTTAATCTTATATTTATTTATCATATGCCAGCTTGGTGGTCATGAACATGAATGAGGCCTGCTGCGGCCAGCTGTCTCCGTTCTGTTCCAGCGCTAGTCTTAAAGAGTCAGCGATGATTTCAAGCATTAAGCATACCCCGCGCGTGTCACTACATCTATCTGAGCTGCTAGGCTAGGTTTGAGATTTACTTTCGCATAGCAGCATGCCCCCCGGTCAGTCCTGCAACATGTGCACCTTATAGGTTCAACTGAAATTGAGAACATATAAATTTGCTAAACGAACCAGTGGAACAGGGTTGCAGTGCAACCTCCCATGAAACCCCACCCGCAACTCGTCACAACATACACCTCACATATTATATATGCATGTGATATATGCATACACCATCTTACCCCCAACAACAGGTCACACGAAATGCTATCCAAACAAAACTACACCAAATGCATCAAACGCTGCAGTATGGCTGCAGTTGCTTGGTTTGGATCCCTCACCCATTGCTCATCAGTCCCTGACACGGCAGAAGAACCGCCTTGGCCGGGTTGGTGGCCACCTCGGCGGAAGCCAAGTCCGCCAAATCCGAGGGCGTCATGTCTTCAGGTGGTACGGTCCTGGGGGCAGCCAGGAAGAACAGGTGATGGTCAAGAAACCACTGAAATCCACACAAGATCCAAGCAATGCTCCCTGACCTGAAAGCTATGCATCTTTGCACGTGCTTGACCACGCTGCTTGTTCAATATTTGGGGGTGACTGTTGAGGAGATCCAAACGTGAGGCTGAGAGGATCATGGAAATGTCAAAAGAAAAGACAATGGGATTCTTCCAGGCCTTCCAGCGGCACAGTCTGGCCGTTTCTTCTTCTTGAGTCGCACAGAAAACATCGGAGTCTGGCCAACTGATGCATTGACCCTTGATTAAGTAAGTAACGCGGGGGGCCTGAGGTTGGAGAGCGCACCCACTCGTCATCAGTAGAAATTCCTTCAGCTCGGGTGTTTCCCCTGGCGGGAGCATTCTCGGACTGCCCTTGCCCCCACCGTCCTGAAGACATCCGTCTGTAGAAGCTCTTTCGGTTGCCTGCAAGACGCCCCGGCGGAGCCTATTGCCACGTGCTGTTGCAGTGAAGCCCTGTAAACATCGTGTCAGAATCCTTTTTGAGAGAACCTGGGCACCTATCAACTTCGACAATTCTATCATGGGCCAGGCTGGTGGGAGGTAGCATTTCTCCTGAGATCCACCGCCTCTTTGCCAGCAACTGAGCTGGGGGCACATGGGGGCACATTACTTTACTGTCACCCTCCTGTTCACCCAGTGCTGACATCTTGAACATTGTCACTGAACAAAATAAATAAAAAAAAAACCGTCTGGCCAGTTTAGACACATGGTGCCGAACACATTAACCAATTTTATTGATTGTATATTTGGACGTTCCTTCAACATTGGGAAACCACATTGTGCATACATCGCAGAACCACCAGCGAATATGACTACATACAGCACTCGTCAAACACAAGCTGGAGCTTCTGGTTGCATCCTGCTGCTTGGATCAGAACGACTTTCGCCCCTGGATCCATCTTCAGCCACGCCCTGCGAGCGTCCAGAAAACCGAGTTGCCGTGCTCTCAGGGCATCCATAGAGACCTCAAAGTCGCTACGCAATCACAAGTTGAAGTCCAAGCTATTGTTCCACATCATAGCTCGTCAAAGACTCTTTGGAGTCTTTCCTAGATGGTTCTGGAAGTCTAGACATGGAATCCATCCTGTACAATCCAAAGCCTTAGACTTCCCCAAGTGCCTACGCCGCACGTTGTAAACAGCCCGGGCACCATGTTTGGCGTGTAGGACACAGATCGACCAGCACGATTCAGACCGCTCCGGGCGAGGCGAAACGCCCGGCAACGTGCCGTCGCCATAGCTTCCAGCGATGATTGTTGGGACCTGTTCTTGGGTGTTTATCTACCATCTGGCACCAAAAGTTGTGACGGGTCAGGGGAACAACCTGGGAGTACCCATGATTACCCGAAACTGTCAGGCCAGTGAGACCGGCAGGTGAAATGGTTTCGACATGTTTCGACATGTCCGCGAGCAAGACTTCAGTGGCCTGTTCGCGGTTGGTTGTCCTTGAGTATGGTGTAGGTTCTTCCCACCCTCAGGTGGAACGTCGTTCAACCTTCGAGTAGGTTGACCTTTCCGGGAAAAACAAGCTCTTCTCGGACATGGCCCTCTGGCACGGAATAACAAATTGCACTAAACTCCCTTGAAGAGTCTATCTCCCGTCCAAACTGTTCTCCATCCTACGGAGACAGGGACCTTTGGCCCACAGTGAAGGAGAGGGGGACGGGCAGCGGAAGCTGGAACCAACTCTTTGACCTCCGTGTCTGCTTGGAACGCCACAAAAAACGCTTGGTTATCTTTGTTTCTCGATCAGTATTCACAGCCCGTCTCACTTTGCCCCTTGAGCACACGCACCAATAAGCAAGGAAGACCCTCATGTGTTGGGTGACTCACATGGGTGTGGAACACGTGCCATTTTCCCCAAGTGATGGAACCTTAAAACGCCAAACAGCCTTCACAAAAGAAGGGTGAGTTAAGGGTGAGTTGCTAAGACAAAAACTGAAAACGGGTGCCATTTACAGGGGTATGTGTGCAAATCCACTTTTCTATGGCCTTGACTAAGACTAGTGGTTCGTGTCGCATGGACAACGTTTCTCGTGTTCTTTTCATCGAACGCTGCCTTGTGGTGTGATTGTCTAGCTGCGGGCTACACGTTAAGTCAAATCAACAGCCATGTCATCATCGCCCACACCTAGGACCTAGGAGCTCCAGGCTCTGGCCGCGCCCTCCACCACAGCCTGGATTCGGTCCAGCCGCCCTAGCCTTCTTACATGTTCTTCGGGACCAACCAGCTCCTGGGAGTTCTGCCACCCCAAACAAGGCACCAACTCCTTCAACCAGCCGCTCCACGCCTTTGGCCGCCGGCCCAGCTGCTAAGCTCGGATCGACCTCCAGGGCGCGCTTCCTCGGTGCAGTTCGAACGAACGCGCCAGGTTCGAAGGAGAAAAGGATGTGATCAAAACGATGGTTACAGTACCCAGATGCGACTAATGGGACTGGCATATTCATTGTATACATACAATTAGGGTGGTGCCAGGGTGGTCAATGTATATAGGCATATATGATCATATATCGCAGTCCCATGGAGTGTCTGGGAGTATAGTTACAGCATGTTACAGCTGTTTTTTTCCGATCCATAGTCCTGGATATCCATGGATCATGGAGGGCACATCTGCGGTTGATCAAAACATCCTTGAGGGGGAAGGTATCTCGTTCTTGGATGTTCTTGGGTCACAGTCACACCATCTCTAGGTGCCAAGCTACTTTGCCCCGTGTGGGACCGATGGAGGTGACCATGTCTTCCCTCAACAAACCGTCCACACAATGACGTCTGTTGACTCCCAAACGACACCATTGACTGTGGCGGAGTAGTGGGTCTACTGAAAAATGTAAATTGAAAGCCAGGATGACAAACCTCAGTGTTTCTATACACAAGTTCTAAGTCAGGAGGGAGCTCCTCAACCCAAAACACATCAAAACACAAACTACGGAAACGGAACCCTTTTAGCAAACACGATGGGTCTCTCTCTGATTCTATCCTTTCTCGCAGGATTATATAAGTGCCCCTATCACAGGATGCCTTGTCTATTGAAGAAACCACACCAGTCCTTCAGGTGGGGAGATGGAGCCTGCAACTTCGACTCCTTACTTCCCAACACCTCACCGGTGCGTGAGCTAGGCCCCAGTGGCTTCATTCCCAGTGGACCCGGACCGTCCCATGGCCTGGCTCCGTCACTCGCTGGGGCAACGGGCCAGGTGCGGTTTTGCCAAATGTTGCCGATGATGTAATCCACCTGAGCCAAAAAAAAAAAAAGAACGAGACACAGATGACACAGGCAGCTGATGACTCCAGCAGCTGATCCAAAAGGATCCTTGGATGATCCAAAAGGATCCTGGTCCAAGTTTAGTTCACAGATCGGTCCACCTCCTGAAGAGATGCTAGGCATGGTATATCATTGTAATTCATGATCTCAACATAAATTCTCAAAAGGACTCCCTGCCTCCCTGTACAACAACATAGTACAGTACGAGGGAGTTTGATGGAGCACAGAAGCACACCCGGTGATTGCCTAGGCTTTACCCTGTGTCCCCGGCCGTTCGTCTGCAACAACTGATCCATAACCAATGTGGAAGGGCCGTGTAAACATGTGTCAATCAAAGGCCCCAACGTGGTCCCCAGCGAAGCGACGTGGCCCGTTTGACCCAGCCTCCAGTGATCCAGGCAATCAACACGGTGATTCACGACCCTGCCCTACTAGTTTGGCAACTTGTTTCTCAAATGTAGATCGACTCTTGATTCATAAAGGAAGATTGAAATATAAGTAAAAAGCCTCATTAACTTGTTCGACACTTTTTCCATGTCGATCCAGCCACACATGGTCTCCTTCCCCGCTGTGCCAGGTGTCCCTACCTTGGGCTGCGCGGCTTCTTCCACGCTGGGCCTTGGCCACCGCGAAGCGACGTGGGCAGAACCACTCCACGTGCGGCCCCGATTGACATCAAATCTGAACGTGCTTTTCTTCCACAAACTCAAATGGCTTAGGCAGATGTTCTCGTGACCTCGCCCTTGGGCCCTTAGGGCACGGAATTCGTTCCGCGTTCGAAAGCCGTCGACCGGATCAAGGACTCTCTCATCGCCAAGCCACGCTGTGGCTTGGGAGGCGAACCTCACCCGGTGACCGGAGTGCGAACGGGGCCGCGACGCCGGGCTGGACGCTTCGCGAATTGCAGGTCAAAGTGATCTTCAATGGATTTGTTTGGGGCCCATTGGCGAATGTTTGTACATTCACCTCCATAGGTTGCCCTGTCCGCGTCGAAACATCAGGTGTGCATGTGAAAATACGAGCCTGGAAGTCCACCGTGTACCTCAAAAGTCATTTACAGTGGGTTCAAATGGGTTCAGAGTAGATGGCACAATCCCCAATGTCGCTGGTGAAAACATGGGCCTCTATCTGAAAGACCTTTTGGGGTTGTGCCGTCTACTCTGAACCAAGTCGTGGCTGTCGACTTCTGTCGACTCAGATCGACTCCGGTCGACCAAAATCCGAGCGGAACGCCGCTCGACTCAGATCCGTGGCCTCATAAAAGTCTCGGACCATTGGGCCTGGCTGGGAACGCCACAGGAGATTTATTGATGCTGGACATGTGAAAATATATGCTGAACATAGATTCATAACACCAGGAGATAATTGAGCCCTGAAAAGCCCGGAGCAATGCTGATAATTGGTGGGTTGTAATCATGTTGTCCACCTGCGCAGCGGCCAGCGTATTTGCTCAGCCAGTGGCCTGGTGCTGGCTCTTGAATTGAACATTGGAAATCCCAGCTACAAAACTAGCCGGGCACATGCGCCCATATACATACAAACAGTATCTTTCTGTGATGCACACCACGTATTTTCCACTAATGACTTCCATGAATTGAGTGTTGAGTCATGCTGAGATCAAACAAAAATGAACCTGGAGCAATGCAGGCTTGCATCTTCTCCCTAGGCTTTCGCCCTCGTTCGTTCAAAAAAGCGGTTTCACTTCACCTGGGAGACGCGGGCAGCCGAATCGGCAGCCACACCGCAGCCGAGAGCCACGGCCCTCCGAACCGGCACCCCCACCACGCGGCCTCCACGAGCAGAAGACAAAAAGTTCCCAGGGCCTTGGACATGAGGAGCGATTGGATGAGACGAACGAAAGGTTTGGGAACTGGGACCTTCGGAGGTTCAGGTATGTTCAGGTGTGGGATTCTCGCTGCATGATGTGCTCCAGTATGGTCTGAATTCTTTCGCCTGAACCACTTCTCGCTGCAACATGCTGCAACCTTCACATGACCTTCAAATGCACTGGATGCACCGCGTGGAGTGCCCATGCCCCCGGCGTCTTCCTTTTTTCATCGCGAGAGCTTCCCAACTGTCAATCCAACATGATGGGATCGCAACAAAGGTGTTTGACGCCGTTGGACACTGCTGTCGACGCCACAGCTGAGGGTGCTGCCCAATGGAAAAGCCGGCTGGAACGACGCGCAAAGCCATGCCTCAGAGTGCTCGAAATATCTCGAAATCACGTCTCAACATAAACGGAAGATTTTGAACCAGGGCGTTGGCATCTGTATGTCGCACCCGTACTTGGTCAATGTTGGACTACTTTGGAGTTGGGGGTGGTGCTGGGTAGTGTTGCATCCTGAAAATATTTAAATATCATCATTGTATTATAACATATTATAAAACATTATATAGCTATATGATCTATATAACAATTTGTTCGAGTGACCTCCAACCAGTCATCACCCAGCAACTTTTGTGCCACACAAACCTCTGTCCAACCAAGTTGCTGGGCTTGTGTACTCTTAGAATGTCTTAAGTCATAGAACTACAGGAACAAGAATTTGATCACTCAATACCGGGTGATGGTCAAACACCCGCCTAACTCGGAATCAGCTCGCCGCTTCCTCAGCATGGCTTGGCAGCCAGTGGTTTCGCTCACACTTGTTTCCTCATGGCAAGCTGTCCCTTGAAGAAGCCGCCTTGGTTGGAGTTGAGCTCGAATTGATCAAAACGCTCAAATTTCAAGGTAAAAAACCTAGGAAGAACCACCAAAGTCAAACAACACATTGCAATCGTGACCGACAATCGTTTGACGTCCATTACCCTTCTCAAGGCTTCAAAATATGATTGCTGAGTGGGTTCATCCGTGGCTTTGCGACCTCATGTGTGGCCGCCATCCGCCTATTGCATCTCAACGCATCTCAAGCTAGCAAATCTGGTCCATGGCTTTGTAATCATAGAGGCTCTAGGGTTGAATTTCGACACTGCAGTTTCCATGTCATGTTGTGTTTAACACGCGACGAGTCCCACGTTACGCGAAGCTTCCACTGAAAGGCCCAGCTACGAGAGTGACTTGCTCGGGGTACGTCGCATCCGACAGAATGCCGCACATCCCACAAACCTCGTGTCAGCAGGATGGATCTTGTTGACCAAGAGTTCATATTCTCATGTGTCACTTCATGCGTTCATATTTGATGGTCTTGAGGGCACCCAATGTCAAAATGCCTGAATCATAGCCAGCACACCTCTGATCTTCTCAGGACATGAACCGCTTTTTATTCACTATTGAACGCACAAAAAGAAACCTGGGTGGAGACAGCGATGCTCTGGTCTGCGCTCTTCGTGCTCTCTCTCTCTCTCTATCCCTCTCTCCTCTCCCCGGTATAAATACATCCGTTGTGTGACTAGGTGTGCATATGCCTGAATATAATTGTCCTATGCTATAGTTAATATATACCACATACTACCAAATACTCATAAATTTGTTTGGGTCCCCGTCCCCTATGGTCCCTTTGGGGCCACCGTTGGAATCTGTTGGACCTCTTTTTGGACAGGCTTCGCCTGGTGCCACAGTGGCTCATCCGTGACAAGGTGCTGGCACTTGTTGCTGTTCGCCTTCGCACCAAACGCCCTCTTGCGGGCTGCGGTCCACGCCACAAAAGCCCTCGGCACCGGAATCCTCAGCAAAACGGCCATCAGATCCAGCAACAGTCTCGACCGGGGATATAAATCTATATATTTTTAATCTAACATTGGAAGTGAGCACTCGGAAAAAGCCATTTTGCGCTCGAAGCAACTGCTCGAAGCACCACATGCGGTGGCACTCGCTCGACTTTGTCGCTTCGAATTTCTCAACAGCATGGACCCAGTTGGAGCACCGCTGTTGAGTGTTGGATTTGATTGGATTTGCTTGGCCCAGGTCTTTTTTGAGTGTCTCACACTCATCAGCCACTTGTCTGCGACTGCACACCTTCCAGTCGTCCGTGAAGTCGCAGCACATCGGCAGGCTAAGCAGAAGGCGGCAGGCAAAGCGCTCAAAGACATGAATCACACGAAGCGCTCAGGGGGTGCATGGAAGGACTTTCCAGGCAACCTTGAACACCGTTCCGTGCGACAGAACCCTCCACCATGCAGGCCCTTCCTTTCCAACACCTAGTAAGTGGAATTGACCAGCTTTGGAGTGTGTTCAGATTAGGCTAAGTTGGGACACCGCCGCATTCCAATCAACCATATGTTCACAGCAAAAGCTCAGTGCTGCGGCTAAAACTTGCCCCTATTTCAACTGAGATGAGCCCCACAGAAAGGTGGACAGTGTAATGCAAAAGGGCTCATTGCGCTTTCTAGCCTCCAGAAGTACGTACAGTAATTCCTAAGGTGTGATGCTGATGCTAGCTTCCTTGTGCATGCCAAAGAGTGGGAACTCTGATCCAAAGGCCTTGCTCAAGAATTCATCTGCCCGGAGCACAACAGCAAACTGAGGCACTTGGTCACTTGTACATTAAGCTGGGCACTTGTACATCAAGCCCGAACCTTCACATCACCAGTTGCTAGTTCACTGTAGAGGCCACCACAAAAAATATCAATGCAGTTCTGGGTTGTTGGACAATGTTGGACCCAGAAGGCTTTTGGGGGGGTGGAAAACAGCGCTGCCCGCTGGTCGTCGCAGAACAAGGTACGTGTCACAAGTTTCGTTCACAGCGCTGGTCCGAACGCCCAGAACCACCCTGTACCTGGGGCATGGAGTCACTTCCGTCAATCCCTCGGCGATTGTTTCTTGCCAGCAAGCATTCCGCGATTGAAGTGTTCCCTCTCTCTCCCCTCCTGTCTCTCCATCGCCTTCAGATCAACATCTGCCCTATATTGGTCTGGGGGGGTCACAACTGGAGCGAAGAGGAACACTGCCGGAGCATGTTGAATGTTCATGAATTCTCAGTGCATCTCAGTAGAAGTCTTGAAGTAAATGTTTATTAACCAATTGTAACCGGGTCCGGCAAGTCGGCTTGCGAGCAACGCAACGTCCCAAACAAGAGCAGGGATCCATTCAACCAATTCAACTACCCATGTTCTAGTGGCTTCTTGTTACTAGTGGTATGGCCAGGAGCTACTAGTAGCTTCTTGCTCCTAGTAGCGATGCCCTTGTTACTAGTAGCTTCTTGCTAGTAGTAATGCCAGCTACTATCAAACTGTCTCGCCACATCTCGGCAAGTGAGTCACGAACGCCATGTCGGAGCTTGACATGGCGTAACCTTCGACCGACTGCGACACGTGGCGTTCGCAACTTTAAGGCCCGACTTGGGGCTGCAAATGGGCCCGACTGGTGGCCCTTCTGCGCCCCGAAAAAGCCTTCTTGCGCACATTCCACGGCTTATGCAGTAGAAAACTGTTGGTTTTTGATGGCTGGTTGCTTTTGTATACACATTGCCCTCCGAATTGGGTTGCTCTGCATCCTTGGCCTATCGTGCTTCTCTTCCTTGCAACCGCTAGTATTGCAGTCCCCTCATTGCTTATTTAGCAAGCTGTGGCTTCAAGCTCTTGCTTAAAGGCTTAGAGAGACGTTGGTCTGACAGGAGAAAACTTGACTTGACTTTGAGTGCAGGCCCGTCGGTGCCAATGTCCACTCTCAAATGATTGCCGACCAGGACTTCGACTTGCGGCCAAAGCTGTGTCCAGCCAAAGCCAGGTCTAGGCACACACCAGGGCCATCACTTGGCCACACTGGACAACTGAACCAATCTCGAACGCAAGGGCCTTGCAGCGGGCTCCTCAGCTGCTCTAGGCGGCAACCTACATGACAATGTCCAAGGTCTAGGGCCTCGTCCCTGTCGACCCTGCTTCGCTGGAGTGATCTATCACAAAAGGTAATTATATAAGGTTAGAGTGCAACACAAACGGGAAACGGGAAACCACATTGGTACCACAAGCGCAAACGGCTTTTTGCCCTGCCTCTCACGGATCCCCGTTTTCACCTCAATCTTCGCCTCAAGTCACCCGGGAATTGAGCACATCAAGCGGGGCAACGGCTCACCCCATGAGCAACACGACGACGTCGAATCTGGTGACACGGGTCATTGTAAACAACTGATGGGCCACGGAAAAATATCACATTCCTCTGCACAAAAGCTCTCTGCACTGGTGACCTGGCAACCATTTTCAACACCTCACGTGTTACAATCTATGGAATCCAAACCGGTTCTGCAATGGCCTCAAAACACAGCGCCCAAGCTTGAGCAACCTCAAGCTGCGTGATGCAACATTGGCTCAATCCTACAAAAACCTTTGGAGAAACTTACGTTCCTTGCATCCTGGCGCAAAACCTAATTACTGTTGGAAATACGGCATCACCACATGTGGGTAGAGCTAGCACACCAAACCCCTCCGCTGTAGCCTCTGAATCTTTCGAGACAAGCCCACCAATTTTCTTACGGTTTTCTTCCAGGAAAATGTCTTGATTCCGCGACCTGCTTCCCAATGGTCCAACCAAAAAAGTAATTCAACCATGAATCGCAAGATGGCAAGCAGCCTACTCCTCGACAAATCAAGCACGCACAGCGCAAAAACGCGGGTGACCTGCATCACGTGAGCGAAACGAATCTGCAAGGTGGCACTCCCTAGACGGGTAGAAAAGCCAAGCCCTTGGCATCCCCGGCAGCCTCACATCAGCACAGCCGAGCATGTTGAAGAGATGACATGCTGGGTGCCACATCGAGAATGGGCTGGTCAACTTGAGCTTCACACTGGCATAAACATTTCCATGGTTCCTTGAGCCTTGCCCAAACCTTTCTGGATGCCCAAACCGCCAAGTGTGTTTTGCGTCTATAGCAGCCAAAATTGCAAAGGGAGATGCTAAGCCTGTGACCAGTTGGCAAAACCGAAAAAAAAGGGACAAAAGCTACTACAAAAGCTCTGCCTTAGGCCAATTGTCAGGACACTGGACAATTTACAGTAGATACCATTCCCCAGCCTACAGGGTGTTCAGCACAAGGGACATATACACAATTAAACACGACATGAAGGCAAAAAAAAAGAATTGGTCCACAAACCTATCCATGACTCGCAGGCCTGCGGGTGTCTCGAAAGGACTTTGGGAAAGTTGCCTATTTTTTCTCTGCCACTTATCGACAAACAAGAAAGCATCAAAGTGAATGCCGGGACTTTCGGCAAAGAACCATTGTCGCATCCACGTGTGTGACAGCAACGACGGAACACGGTCAAGGCCAGCCCAGTCACCCCCCCTACGACAAGTGGCATTTGCACAGCTTTACTGGGAATTGGATCGTGCCAACACGCCGGTTTCAGGTTAATGGAATTGATTAACAAAATATATGGCAGCCAGCTGTAGCATCCAAAGGCTCAACGTAAATTGGATGGGGCAATCAACTCACTCGGCTGCTGTTTGGCTCCTCGACTCCCTAAGGCCGGCAGCATGAATTAAGCTCTTCAAGAATGAAATTACCACATATTACAACATCGCGAGGCTTCCGCGCGTGTTCAGCGAGGATGGAGACAGACTGGAATTCACCACATGACCTATGGAAATCCGCTCGAAAGGCTGAAAGCCTGCGCAAATCATGTGCTCGGCGTGCGCAACATCGAGCACGGAATGGTTGATTTGAGCTTAGAAGACTTTGAGTACCCTCAACAGTCTAGCCTCTGTAGCCTCCAAAGTGTAAAACCGATTAAAATAAGTAAACACGACAATTGATGGTTAAAGAAAAGGCAGGGAGGCCAAATGCGTTCTCCGAACAAAATCGCCAGCTCAGGTGCGAGGTGTCCGGTGTCCCTGGGACCCGGCCTTGCATCTAAGCCAGTGATGGACAAATGAGAAAGGCATCGAAGTGATAAGTTGGCAAGTTCGGACATCCACGAACCATATCTCCCCCTTCGAGGATTGCTGGCACTTGATGAACTCAATTGTCGGCACCATCTTGAGAATTGGATTGGGATATAGTGTATGGGATATAGACTCCAGATGTGTATATTATATACAATACATATACGTTGCAGTGAGCTGGAACATGTAATGATTGGAACATGGAAGGGTGACAGCAAAACTCACTGTAAATAACAACGACCATAATGCCGCACTGTTGCCTTGGCTTTACTTGGCTCTAGCCCAAAGAAAAGGAGATTGTCATGCTTGTCCTGCGTGCAGTCCCACAGCACCCGGCGGCCGAGGTATTCTGTGGCCATGCTTTGAAGAAATGTCCCACAAAATCGCTGTGACCCAAGGTGCCTGAATCTGGAAAGCATACGAGACCTGCTGGGACCTCCACCTGAAAACTCTCTCGTTGGCCAAATAACCTGGCAAACGATTCCATTGGGGACAGTGTTGCTACAGTACACCTCTCGCACTGAAAGCCTCTTTGTGTGGCAGCTTGCATGGAACTGCAACTTGGGGTGCCAAGGAAGCAAGCGCAGGTACAGCTTCGTTTTGCTTTTTGAAGCACTACCCACCTGTTCCTGCTTATTTGACCAGATGGCGTTGACTTTCTTCGTTGAAAACAACTTCTCAGGTTCTGGTCAACACCAACTCAACCTCTTATGACTCTTATGGTGCCTCAAACATCCCAATGAAACGTTATCTGGCACCCCTTATCTCCAAATAAGAAACACCAACTGGCATGGTCACGAGCCCCAGTGACGGATGCTACGCGCTTTTGGAGAAACTAGGCCCAGTGGCGTTTGTCATTGATGCTAAGGACTAAAACGGCCGAACTCTTCCGTTGCCGAACTTGTTTCTTCCGCGCCAAGGATCGCCGCAAAGATCTCAATCCTTCCACTCGGTCGGACTCAAAGCCCTGGTCGGACAGTGCCCTGACGCCTGAAAAACCTCAGGCTGCCTGGCACAACATTGGCGCAGTATCAAAGAATGCTTTGGAAATGAGACACCTCAACGAGTGGAAAACGTGCGACTTTCACACGTCCTGGTGCCAAAGGTGGTTGCTTTCTGCAAATACAGACTCCCTCCATTACCACCTGTCTGTAGGGCAAAAATCGATCTGTTCCTCTCTAGCCTCTGAATCTTTTGAGGCGAGCGCGACGATTTCCTGAAAGTGTTCTTTTCTTGGAAGTGTATGTGACACCATGCTGGTTCTGGAACACGCTTGTGCGACGGCCCCTCCGACCAATTGAGCCAGAAGCTTTCCTCAGGCGGAGATTCAAACTGCAGGAGGCGCAGCCGACTTCTGCTTCGCACTGGAAACTTTATGACTGCCTTGAACCCTCAAGAATCCTGCTTCTTGACCAGTCCAACATAGTCCAACACTGGAGGAATTGAAAACGACCTGGTGGGAGAAAAAAAACACAACATCTGTTGACAAACCTATCCAGGACTTGCAATACCCTGAGTGCTGCGACCACAACCCTTTGGATCAGTTGAATTTAAGTCTTCCTTCTCAGACCTACATTGAACCATGTTGAACCTAAGCCGCAATGACACCATTGAGCCCATTGGCGGAGAAGCATGAAATGGCGCGTGTTGGTGCGCCATTTGAGGATAGCTGATGACCCTAATCATCCACTTCTTCCTAAACAAAAGGCATCTCGAGAGGCCGAGATGAAAGGCCTCTGATCCTGTCAATACGCCGCAAGCTGGTGAGAGGTGTAGGTCCGTGGAGGGGAGC